TACAATATAATAACAAAATTTTAGATATGCCTATAGTTAAAAGTCTCAAACTACTATATTCGACTGATTTTGATGCAAATTTTATGAAATCTGAACTAATTTTTTACTTAAATATTTTGATCCGTCATTCTCTGCAGTACCTCACAAGGCACAAGCCATACACCAACAGTTGTTCATATTCATGTACATGTTTGTGAATAGTAAGCAAAGGAATAAATTTCGAATAGAATGCTTGTGTCTAAAAGAGAGTGTTGGGCATGTTTAAGTAATCTGAAGCGAATAAAAGTGGGTTGTTAGGTTTGTGGCTTATTGAACATTTCTAATATTTACACAGAAATACAGTTAAGTGAACATAATAGACATTATGCTGCTAAAAGTAAATGTGAAGTTGGTATTGGATCATTTATGTTTTATTTAAAGTGTAAGTATATTCTTTCAAAGATAATTAAACAAATTGTAGACGAGCTAGCCACACGGAAAACCTAAAAAATCTGGGCATATCGTTGACATCATGCAAACTGTCACTGAGTTGTTCCTGTGCTGAAGTTTTTAATAAAAGATGGAAAGACTCAACACGCAGGCATCTCTGTATGCCTCGCTCCAATAAAATGATGAGATGCCCCGTAGAGATATCAGTCTTATAGTATGTTTACTTACAGGTCATGGTATTTCAGGTAACCATGCTAGGAGACTAAATCTCCCTTTCAACCATACCTGTCGCAGTTGTGGTGAGCACGATGAAAGTGCCTCTTATCTGTTCTGTTTTTGTCCGGCATATGCGCGACGGCACCCTAATACTTTAGGGGTTTCTTTCTTTCTTTTTTGAATAGCATTATAAGCTTTGTCACAGGTTTGACCTAAGTGGATACCTTGGGATCGCCGGTATAAGATGACCTAACCCAATTAAATAATTTGCATTTTGAGTGAAAAGATTTACCAGATCTGTTAAGATTTGAGGAAGTAGGATATTTTCTCTTGTTATTTATGAAAGAAGAAATCAAGCTTATTCTTTTTCGTCAACTCGATAACCACGTGGAGAATACGTAGAATAAACTAAACTTAAAATGAATCACAACATTATCGTTTGACTTACTACTGGAATAATCTGTGATATTTTAGGAACTACAATTTTGAGTGATTAAGAGAAACTAATTTTAATTTTTTTATACTAAAATAAACTACATACTATAAAAAGTGAAATTCCCCAAGTTTAAGTATAAAGAAATCAAAATATAATTATCTGTATCTATATGTGTGTTTCCTATAAGTTAGCAACATGAAAGTGTGTAACATATGTTTGGTGTTATCGCACCTGTTAGTATGTTGCTTATCGGAGAGCTGCTGTGCTATGACCAGACAGATTAAAACTGTTGGCATTGAAAAATACAGTATATATGTTTATAAAAAAACCTGAACACGTACTTTTTAAAAACTACATTATATTCTTCAATTTAATTGTGTGATTTCTACTCAATCAAATCAAACATATGCATTAATAATACGGAACGATAGACAATTATAAACAGTAGTCACAATTAGATACTCATTGTCACCTATGTTTTAGCTCAATGCACTCTGAAAAATAGTATATATTGTGCAAATTTATATAGAGTCACATAGAGATTCTCGTCGTAAATTCTGCAATACGTTTAGAACACCATGTAGAACGCTTTTTAATCGCAGCTATTGACCGGCATATATGAACCCAGCGCAAATGGAAATAGGCATTGTCAGATAGTAGAGACTGATAATACTTATACTTTGAAGGAAATGCTTCGCACGGGAACGACGTTGCTAGACTTCATATTTGCAATTGTTGGGCTGCAATTGTAAATAAATCTAAGCGAATCGCTATTATTTGTATTTGTATTTGTTTCACTATTATGTCAATACTATACTTTGAATAAATATTCAATGTTTACCTTACACAAATCAGATTAATGGAATTTTCAATAGAATTTTGAATTGGAAATATTACAGCGTTTTATGTGTGTGATTGCCAATTAAATACGTATTATAATGAAACTATTGATATATGTAGTAAGTAATAAAGTTAATTTGTACAGCATTTTAAAATATTTCTTATTATCAATTGATAAATTTTAATAAAAACAGGGCTTCTCGCTGTAATTGATAATATCCGTAAATTTTTTACTTTCAATATTTATCTATCAAGCAAGTTTCAACAAGTAAATATAAGATTTTAGCAAAAATAACACATAAGAAATATAAGAATTTAGATTATATTAGTAAGGTTAGGTAAGGTTAAGAAGGCGTGTGCGGATATAACTATCAGCAATTCCACTCGGAGACATCAATTGCACATTGTGATGCCTTCACAATTGCCTGGAAGAGCAAATATTAGTAAAGTGTAACAGATACTTTGATTTAGTGTTGTAACGGATCTCTACAACTGCATCCACAAATATGGACAATGGACTGGACAAATCTTTCACTACATTATGACCGCTTTTAAATGCATTGTACCACTTATACTCAAGCGCTTTCGGTGACGTCCGAAAGTCCACCGTAAACGTTCAGAAACATTTTTGCGCTTCTGAATACAATATTACGATATTCTATTACAAATCAATATATTTAATTTATATAATTCATTTGTACCTACGCATTCACATCCGCTGAAACTTGCTTATGGGTAAATTAACATTAAATTAATTCGATTTAATAATGTATTGCGATTAAAAGTAGTTTAGTGTTTAAAAAAAATTGTTTCTTTATTAAATTGTCATTATTTGATTGAGTCGAACGTAGATTAATTATAGAGTACATATGTAAATTATTTTGCCATTTAATTGATTCGATTTATTTTACTGTGTAGCCTACAGTAAATTAAATTATTCGCATTAAAAAAATAAAATAGTTTCGTGTTTACACTTAAATATTGTAAAATGCAAACTTTTGATAGTGTTAATAATTAAATAATATGTAATAACTTTTTTTTCATCAAATAATAGATTTAGATATCAAAAAGTTGAGAAAGTAAACGAAAATAAACTTAAGTTTATTGACGTTGACATATTTGCCTTTCCGGTAATCTAAGAAAAGCAATTGCTTATTTTATACACCATATTTCCCTTGAATCATTTGAATCATACTTTAAAGACATAGATTTAGTTTATTTTTAATGTTAATATTTAGTTGCCGAGTAACATTACGAAAGATCAGCATTGTAGACGATATTGGAATCGTATAAATGACCAGATAAATGAGAGATCATGCTAAATGATTTAACGATGTTATAAAAATTATTTAATTACTTATAAGGACACCTAATCTTGTCGCTTATAAATGACTTAACAAACATTTAACACTTAACAAATTTTAAAGAGAATGTGAAGGCTGAAAGTTTCGCCTAGGTAGATGGTTAGCATGGAAGGCTATACTATAGTTTTATACACAAGTCAATGTACTAGTTGTTTAGATATAAGTCATAAGTCATTGGAAAATTAAGCTGTGTTATACAAAGTAACATTGAAAGCTACTCGTATATAGATTTACGGCACAGAACTATGAGGAACGACTAGCAACTTAAATATGGAGATCTTGCAAAAATAAATTAACTTTCTATATTCCATGTGTAAATAAAAAAATTCAATAACTTAGTAAGATTCATCGAAAAAATAAAATAATCTTACTAATATACTTGCTATTTGCTATTAGATACCACATGTAAAAGAAGAAGATTAATTAGAATCCGCATTCTACACAGGCTCTATCATAATTAAAACGATTTGCACGCTAACATATATATAATAAGATCGATGTGTTTATCTTCAAATATGTAGATATTTAGGTATTATAGAAATGTAACTATAAAAAAAGTATGAACTAACTAGTGTAACTAACTATTGTGGAATCAAATTTCTATTTATATGTATACTTTTTTTAGTATTACTTCTGTTTACTGTTTATTAATATTAATAGATTTTAATTTGATTGAATAAGGAGATATACGATGATATATAGAATAAATAAAAGTTTCAATAAAAAGTTGCAAATAATTGCTTTATGTAAAAAGTTTTAAATTTTATTTTTCTATCATTTTTAATACTTAAATATTATATATATATTAAGGCGTATATTATTGATATATTGTATCTTTTGATATACAATTTTTAATAGCCAAAAATACTCGCTTAATCTAATGGTAATTCCACAAGTAGAGGAAATGATAGCATTGTTTACTATAATTTCTTTCAATATTTTTTTTTAATTTGAAAATATATTTTTTGAGAATTATTTGTCAATCATATCTAAATTGTGCAGTTTGTTAAAGATTATTTATGGGCATAGACTTTATAACCAGAATGTCATCCAGTTCTATTTTTACTTCACTTTTTGATTCGCGTGTTCTTTGATCAGATCATAGTTTGCTGAAAGATAGCGAACTTCAAGTCTTCAAATTTAAATAATTTTCTAAGATAGCATTTTTCATTTGCAGTTATCTATTAAATAATCCCATAATATGAGTCTGCGCATAGCACTACATCATATAAATAACAAACAGTTGTTAACTGTCAAATGTACTGGTTATTTGGGTGAAATTATCCATTTAGTTTAAATAATAAAATCATGCTCAAACTGGTCTATATATAGGTCAATATAACGTTAGGTCACTATAATTCCAACATTACTTGTAAAGTTGTTTTAGTTCCTTTTGAATGTGGGAGTCGTGCCTCTCGGCATTACTCGTACGTTGACCATTGCGGTCCTTTCGGTAACCTTTCTGGTCTGCGTATGAATAACGCTAATCCGGGGTAACACAATAGGACACTATTTCAACTAAAGTAGGCTTTGGACACAAGGCCGCTACACGAAACTAACAACATAAAAATGCTGTAAGCTGTAAGCGTACTAATCGAAAACGCTTAAAAGTACTGTCAAAGGTATGGGGTTTGTATTTAAGTATTCCATTTATCATGACCTTAATGACCTGCTTAGAATACAAACTACGAAGAATAAATTTTAGATCTATCAAACAGAATTGAAATAGTTAGTATACTTAGTATAGTGGATGTGTTAATAGATGAAACATTTTTGATATGTTTGTTATTCACAAGTATTTGATCGTTTGTTATATCAAGTATTTGTAAAACTGAGAGTGTACTGTAATTTAAATTAGTTTTATAAGTTGTTGAACTAGTATAGTAGATGGTTTTATTGGAGACCGGCTATATCTGAGATTGATTCCAAAAATAATTATAAATTTGTTAATCAACTTTGGTGAAAGTTATATTCTGAAATTTGAGATACTTTAGGACACCACACAATGAATGTCAACTCACTTCGATCATAAAACTAAATTTTATTAATTCTATATTTAAATTTCTTAGTGCTCCGATTGTAATAGACTTACCATGAAAATAATATTGCCACAATAGCTATGCTAGAGGCACATGTAGGATAGCTGGATAGAAAGAGGCCGTGTTTATAATAAAAATGCGAAACAGAATCGGGAAGACCAGCAGAGGAGCGCTTATTGCAAGCTGCAGCACTGGTGCCAGTTGTTGAGTTACCATTCATTTTCGTAGCATTTGGCTCGGAATATGTGGATGGAGCCATTATTTTTTATTTTTGGATGCTTATATAATAACAAATAAATAAAATTTTCGTACACAATTGCGGAATTACTGTTTCAGTTTTAAGTAAGAAAATATTTTTTTTTGTTTTTACCAATATTTTGGCTTTTAACACATTTCTTTGATTTGTTTATGTAGTCAAAAAATTTCTTCATAAAAAAAGCGCATTACGCAATTTTTTTTAAAGTTTCTTGGTATTTTATTTCTAATTTTTTAAATACATTTAGCGGAAATGTTCTCACAGCAGTGTTAGAAAAAAACATTATTATTTTATTTTTATTTTGGTAATTTCTGCACATTTTTATATACGCCTCACGTTTATGCGGCCGCTAGTTTTATTGATTTTCTTAAAAAACTTTTGTGAAGGAATAATGCAAATATAGGTAGTTTTTTTTTTTTGATTTTCAATAAGCAAATTCTTTATTTATTATTTGTATGGCAATTTTCATTTACAATTTTTTTTTCTGTATTATGTGTGTTTACTTGTAGCGCTTTTTTCTTCCTTTCAATTTCATTGTATTGTAGCACTTTTATATTTTTATTATTAACTAATTACCATATGCCAAAAAGTTTAATTTTAAGTTTAATAAATCCACAACCAACTGTCACACAACATAAACAATCGACCGGTGTATCATTATCTTCACTTTATTATTTAATAAATCATATCAACATTACACCGACAACGCAATAAATTAAACACTTTAACACACACGCACTCACACACATCACACACACACAAACTCTATTTTCGTTAATAATATTTGCAAAAACTTATTTAATTTTTTTTTGCATTGGTGCAAAATTGCACGTTCAATGTAAAATAATTTCGCGTTTTAAACTCAATATGAAATCAATATTCCATAATATATTTTTTCGATCGTATGTACGCTAAAAATAATTGGAATTTAGTATTATTCATTAAGATAAATATTTAGTTACTGTAATTAATTTATGAACAACACGTTTTTCACGTCATTCTGAGTTTTCAGCTAGTATAGTACTAATGATTAATTATTTTCTTTTGACTTTCTTTGGCAGTTCCACCACGGCAGTGTTGGAAAAGAGCTTTTCAATGACATTCATAATTCTAAATAGACTGAAGTTTCACGATTATTACATCGATATATTTATAATATGTATTTATATAATTAAATAACTAATAAATACATTATGCGAGTAGTTATAAATTTTTATTTTGTCATTACGATTAGTTCATTAATATAACTAATTAAAAACTAGTTCTTAGCTTTTGATAAATTCAAATTGACCATATAATACAAATATTGGAAATTAAAAGTCTTTACGAACAGTTTTAAAATTCTTGATAATCACAAATTTGTACAATAAGCATTTGTAATCTTTATTTAATATAACAAGGCTATATATACTATATTAATGAAATTATTCGTACATTACATACAAAAATGTGTACAAATAAATAAAAATGAATGTCACATAATACAAGTTGAGTATGAGCACTTCAACTTATAATATAGTGAATAATATAATAATGTGATAATAATAATATAATTAAAATAAAAAATTGAGAAAAATTCGTGCCTTTTTGAAACGAAAATTCGAAACATCTGCATATCTTTTCACAGCATCATATTTCTATTTCTTATTGTATTATATGTTTCAATAACGCACTAATCAATATGAGTGGTGTCATAGGTAGTTTAACTATTTTTTGAAGCATATTTATTACATGACTTTTTTTTTTTTTTTGATATTTTATTAACTACTTACCCTATTTGCAAATGAGAAGGTGCATCACTTTTACATTTTGATTGGCATTTCCAAAAAGTATTTGTTAAATTTGCTTCTCAATGTGATCTACCATCGGTAGCTTCTATTCCATAAACACTAACACATATTATTAAGGCATTTGAAAGTTTACAGGATCATCAAGAACTTGACTGTCGAAACTGATTTTTGATAGAAGAGAGGGGAAGGAAAGTACGTTTATACCATTTTAATTATACATAGAATACAATATATATGCAAAAATATTGGTTACCCAGCAAACGTTGTATATCTTTTTGGTATTACTAACAAACTTTTTAAGTGAATACTCAACAAAACAACAAATTTTAAGCTTTAAGTTTCAAAGTAGTGTAAGCGTAATTCGAAACTTTTTTAACCGTCAAGCTGCCGCTAGTGTGAATAGTTCTAATTAGTTGATGACTGAGCAGTTTTGCACGTTATAAATTAATATTAACTTTTCTATATAATAGCAATCACCGTCATCAATTTCATTAAATATAACGTATATAGTATTATATGTGATTGGACTTGACATTATATATGGAAAGTTTTTTTTAATAACTTTTTTCCCACTTTTTAATGTTGTTGTTTTTATAAGCAACTAAATACAAAATTTAAAATGCATCTATTTTTCTTATATTATTGATTATTAGTTTTGAAATATACATATATATATATATTTTAATATATATTATTTAAAACTATTTCAGAGTATTTATCAGATCTTAGTCTTTTTAAAAGGTAACAATTAGGAAATAATAAATAATTAATTACATAACTATAAATATATATATATACTTATAAACATATTTATATAACAAAAACTATACACTTCGTTATAACTTTTTACAATTAATTGCTAAATAATTTAATTCGATTAAATACTAATCAATTTTTGTTGTGGGCATGGTGTATTCGGCAGTTACAGTAGTAGCTTTACGTACATCCGTTTCCTGCTTAATAACACGTAACTCCAAAGTCGCATTATTTCTAGGCTTACGTTCCCATATATCACGTCTAAACAATACTACAGTCACTTTATTGAGAATTGGGCACAAAATTGACTCATGTATCACAGCTGCAATTCGATAATTTTGTCCTTGGAATGGATCCGATAAAGCTGCACACAGCATATGATTTAGATTGATTCCAGTATACTAAAATGCCAAAATATAAAAAAAGGGTTCGAATGGATTAATAAAAAAAAAATTAAGAAATAATTAAATAATCTAAGAAAACATTATTTATACTTACAATTGAAAACACGTTTAATACTGTAAAATGATAAACCAACATTATCATTACACCTATAATTACCCAATTGTAATCATTCAGATCCTCTATTGTATAAGCCCCTATAAGTTATAATTTAAATAATTGTAAAATTAAATAATTAAAATAGTTTTGCACACTTTACCGCTTTTTAATATATATATTGGTATTATATATAGCAAAGCATGTTGTATCCAATATGTTGCTTGTTCGAAAGGACAAGTACGGAATTCAACTTCCGGAAATAAAAATGCTAAAAATGGTCCATTTAGATTATTCATTTGTATTCTAAATATTGCTGTAGTTATTTTACTGGGCTTTGATGCTAATAAATATATCTGTAATTTTTTAAATTTAGTTTAGGTAATTTATTTTAAAATAAGTTATATGATAATTATTAAAAAAATTGGTATAAAAAATTAATAAAATAATTAATTAATAAAAATTAATTTTAATTTTAAGAATTAGATATCAATTTTTAATACATTTTATTATTTATTTAGATTTTAGTGTATATGAAAAGTATTTAGTATTTTCATTTCAAAACAGAGTTCTATCTTTTACATACACGTCCTTATTAATCAATAGTCGTATCCAGAATGGAACCTCTGTTCGCTATAGTGTTAACTAAAAGCAGAACTTAGTCGACAAGAAGAAATTATTTCCTTACTTTATATTAGCGTTTAGAGCCGCTGTGTCAACTGTCTGGAGTTTCAACATTACCATGGCATGATCGGAGGCCTCGTTGTAACTAAACCTTTTGTAAGGTACCAGCCCAAGTTATGGGTCTATCATTCGTAGGTACTGAAAATCATTCAATGCAAGCATTCACAAGAAGAATAAATCGGCCTAATGAAATTGTTGTAAACTTAAGGCATGTTTAAATGACTAGATTAGCTCAATGGAATGTTCGGACTTTGTTTCAAACAGAGAAAATGGCTATGTTAGCTGCTAAATGTGAAAGACTGATAATATATGTTATTGGCATAAGCGAAGCAAGGTGGAATGGTTATGGTGAATTTATAAATCAAAGTGGAGGAGTGTTAAGGTACTCTGGAATGACTGATGAAAATGATGTTCATATACTGATACATTGTGACCGAAAAGTTTCCGGAAAATTTTAAATAAAACGCAAAATTCTTAATCTTCATCAATATTTACTTTAGTCTCCTCAAAATATCTCCATTAGAAGCGATACACAAATGCCAAGTTTCTTCCAATCATCAAAAATTTTTTATAGGCGCTTTCCGGTATGGCTTTGAGTTCCCTCTGCGAATTCTGTTTTACGTCTTCTATGGATTCAAAACGCGTTCCTCTGAGTGGTAATTTGAGGTTGGGAAACAGGAAAAAGTCACACGGTGCAAGATCAGGTGAATACGGTGGCTGTTCGATGGTATTTATTGAATGTTTGGCCTTAAAATCGTTGATAATGTTGAACAAATTGAGGTGAATCGGAACAAGCCGGGCGTTGACACGTCGCATACACAAATTGTCCACCAAAATCAAACGAGCCATCTCACGACCGATGCCTAGCTCTCGTGCTATCTCTCTAACACTCACATGAGGATTTTTGAACACGATTTCCTTTGCCTTTTCAATGTTTTCGTCGGTGGTAGAGGTCGAAGGTCGTCCAGAACGCGGCATGTCTTCGACGGTCGTACGACAGTCCTGAAAGGCTTTGTACCACTCATAAACTTGAGTTTTCGATAAAACTGATTCCCCATAAGCCTTTTGTAGCATTCGCAACGATTCTGCACACGAAATTTCGTTCGAAAAACAAAATTTGATGCAAACTCTTTGTTCAATATTTTTTTCCATTGTTTTTTTCGCAACGCACTACTGAGGTGAACTGGTTTCAACAGCTGCCGTAAACGAACTGTCCGACAGATCGCGCTCAATTTTGGCAATAGTAAATAAGGACAAGTGCTGCCAAACTAACAATAAACTTAAAATATCGAAAAATATACAGCGCGCGAATTTTAAATGAGAATTTCCGAAAGCTTTTCGGTCACAATGTATAGCTGTGGACATCACACAAAATGTAAAACTGAAAAATGTTTTAAACTGAAAAACTGTATCTCACTCATATCTTCAATGCTATGCTGGAAATATATGCTATCACACGTTCCTAGAACAGATGTGGTCATGGTAATGGGTGATTCTAATGCTCAAATTGGTAGTGATAACTCAGATTATGGAGATATTATCGGCACCCACGTCTTTAGAACATGTAAAGAAAATGGAATTGAGCATTGATGCAATAACCCCTATATAATGATTAAAAGGTTTATATATCTTTTACCTTTAAAGGCTATGGTAAATTGTACTTTCATTCACTTGTTTAGAATATTTTAAAAAATCCTTGATCTTATATAGATTGCCTTACTAAATAAAATTCGTAATATTCAATACGAAGCCCATAACTACAGGGATGCACTCTGTTCAGTTTAGCTTAAATATATATTTTAAAATAAGTAAAAGTCAAAGTGGCATCTAACGTCCAAACATATATTTTAAATATTAAACTGAGGAGCTATCACGAGGTATATGAACGAGTTAAGATTACTTTAAATATATATATATAATAATATAATTTAAAAATCATTCACCATTTCTGCTACTATATCACTTCTACCATATATGTAATTATTTATAATGGGTTTAAAAATTATTACTTACTTGCGCCATTGTTTGTATATGACATGGATTCATTACAAATATCACAGATTTACTGGACAATTTATAGCCCATTTCAACGCCAAATATAAAAGTCATAGAGATTAACAACAGTAGTCGTATCACTGTGTGTGGTTTATCGATCTCTTTGGGTGGAGGCAATAAAATTGGTTTTAAACGTTTCACAGCCCAACATATTATGTATATAAAAATTATTGTAAAAATAATGGACTCTATCCAACGTCTACGATTTGTCATGTAATTGATGCATTCAGGTCCTGTTGTACGTGGCGTCTCTTCGGTTACACCCTCCACAGCCCAACTCCAATCCATTATCCAGCACAGTAGTTGATATTCAAATGAGGTAAGTTTACTTTTAAAAAATTTTTCTTTCTTTATGTAATATTATGTATATTATATAATAAACATAAATTAGTTGTAGCTCGAAAACCGGTCGTTGTAGGTTCAACCAAAAATGAACAGAACTTATGTAATCTCAAAATATAAGTTATTTCTGAAAAATAAGAAAATTGCATTCAGTCGTACTTGTAAAATAAGATAAATTCATGTAAATAATGCGTTGTAGAATAGAACGAGTAAAGATGCTATGTGATAACGAATGAAATATGCTCTGAGCAGGACAGGGCTGTCAACAAATAACATTCGATTTATCTCAAGGGTCATTCTTGTGTATCAATTTATTTATTTTGGTTGCTTGCCAAAACTGGCAAATCGTCGTCCCGCAATAAGCCTACAATCACGACATGAGCACAAATCAATTCAACATTTTACAACGTGTTTATTCATAGATTCTGATTTTTTTGTTTTAAATAATTTAAGTGAAAAGTTAGTTGAAATATGCCTGGCTTATAAAACATAATTCACAAAATATTACTAGAAAATCATTTTAAAAGAATTTATTTATTATTTTTTATATAAAAAATCAACTGTAGAGATTTTTTTAAAAATTTTGAAACATGATTTAGTAATAATGATAATAATAAGAATGGATAACAAACAGATTGCTTTCTTACAGTCTGTCTATACTAGATACCGAAGATGGACTTTTTGATTAGTACCTGGATATATAAGGAAACAAAGGTTAGAGTACCTTATCTCATTTTGGCAACTTGGTGGCATCAAAATAAATAAAAATGGAAGTCTTGCTATTTATATTAACATGCGTTCTGTATTAATCTAACCGAATCTACATCTATGGATTTACATGATATTAAAATTGTAAAGGTGCAATGCAGTTACAGACAAGAATCTAGTCAGTACGATTCTGCAAAGTGTTTAGAAATAGCTCTTGATACCAAAGAAAATGAATAGAAAACTGCTATTCACGAATTATTAACTCGGCGCTGTGGAAATAGATGAAGAAACTAATTTGTTTAAGATACTGCACGCATTCTACAAATGAAACAAAATATAGAGTACCTGCCCTGAAGTTATATGCGAAAATTGACAGGCTATCCTACTTACCACTATCTAATCTTAAAGTAATCGCTCTCCGCACGGGGAGGTACGCAGATTTTAGATCAATCACTGAATAATCATAAAGCTTATAGGGAATACATAAATTAGTCAATGAGATGGGTGGGACCCTGTAGTACCCCCAGCTATCAAAGAGAAAAAGTGCCCAGTTGCGCTGACTCAAAAAAAAGGATCAACATACAGACTACCTCTAATTATAGACTACATAGGCTAACTTAGCTTCGTATATCACTGTGACTTTATAAATAAAGTTCTGAAAAAGTGACCTGATATAGAATAACTGATAAATTATAAACGATTATCAGTCGGTGCAATTTCAAAAATTTTTTGCCGAACGCTATAAATAAAGTAAGGGATCTCAGGTGAAGATCAGAAAGCAAACCTGTCGCCATTAAAAACAAATTTAAACAATCGAAGCCACACATACTAATAATGGAAGATAGCAACTTAAAAATAACAAAACCATAACGGAACGAGCATTAAGAAAGAAATAGACTCAGATCACAGGTGATCATAACAACAAATGTGATATTTAGCTGCAAATAGAAAATAATGGATGAACTTTGTGTCTGCCCAGTCCAAAGACACTAGATCAAAAATAATTTTATATTAAGAATATATTATATTCTTATTATATTTGAAAATTTTATTTCATATTTAGTTTTTTGATTAATCTTAAGTAGTGAAACATATATTGAATTTCTTTCTTTCCTAGCCTTTTAGTCAGAGCTAGACCAATGTTTTTTCAAGTAGTTTTTTCCATTGCAATCTTTTCGTCGCTTTTCTGTATTAGATTTGGTCTTAAATTATTGAATACTACATCCAACTATCCTTTTTGTACCACTCTGCGTTGTGTTTTGACGTAATCTATTACGCTTTGATCCTTTATTGTTAGTTCTGTCTCATTCCTGCATCGAATTTGGAATGACCATCGGTTGTATACAATTACCGTTTGTTTGCAAGATCTTGCATTTATACTCGAGAATCTATGAAATTATATTACTAATTTTCAGTATCCACACTTTACATTTATAGGAAAAAGTGGGTTTAAAAACTGTTCCGTCGATATGATTGAAATAAAGTATCAGTCAACATCAACAGCGTGTAACTTGTATGGTACAAAATTATATTATATTTGATCACTGAAAACGGCTTTAGTTTTCAGTGATGCCAGAATTGGTTGCAATAGTTAATGGGATGATCATTACTATTATCTTATTATTTAGTTATATTTTTGTCTGTTTAATAAATGTAAGTGGTACAAAAGCATTAAAAGTCTTTTTTGCAAATGATAAATATTTTTTTGTTAAAAATATGTATGTGGGTGGGCCTTAGACCTTATTATATACTATAAGTACTTCGTACTTCAAATTTTATTATTCTACGAGTTGTGGTTTTTTGAGATATTTAAAAAATAGGAAGGTTGATCATGTTTGGGGTCAATGACCCGATGCAACCAAAATACAGTCAAAACAAAGCTCATTTTAAATACTACACTTAATGTCTTTACTAGTTCAGAAAACCCGAATTTTGACCACACCCTGAGTTTATATAGGCAGTTTTAGTTGTCGTCAAAGAAATAACAGATTCTTTACTTAATAAATTTGTGTTCAAGTTGTTTTTTAAATAATTTATTATCTCTTTATACTTACATAAGTACATAAATGAAAAAAAATTTTTAAATATACATTTATATAATTTACAAATCCTGTGAAAGCACTTCGTATACTAGTCAATTTTTGTCGTGGGCATAGTATATTCTGCAGTTAAAGTACTTGGAGGCATATTGAGAGCTTCTTGTTGTAGCAATATTGTATGATCCACCAAAGCTTCTGGTGGCAAAATATGCGCATGCCTTTGACGGTGGGTTAGTATATTATCACTTGGAGCAATTCCATAGTCCGCTACTAATGATATATCACTCAAAGACTTTTGATGATGATACAACAATCCGTAATCTGGAGCATGCTGACTTCCAGTGGAAATATATACCTCCGGTGGTAATTGAGCTCTACTTTTAGCACTTCTAAATAAAAACACAGTTACTTTATTGAGTAACGAACAAAGTATTGTTTGATGTATCACAGCAGCAAGACGGTAATATACTCCATCGAATGGATCTAACACAGCAGCACACAGCATGTGACTTAAGTTGATGCCAGTGTACTAAATTGATAAATTATTCTTACTAATTAAATATATTCTTGTATTTCAATAGAGATTAGAGTCTTACAATTGACAATGCATTTAATATTAAAAAATGATACAAAAACATCATAGCGACACCAATTGCTACCCAATTGTAATCGGATAAGTCTTCTATTGTATGTGCACCTATCAAAAAGGAATTATTTTGTTGGAGTTTTTTTTGTATTTCAAATAACACATACCACTTTTAAGTATATAAATAGGTATAAGATACAGTAAGAAATGCTGTACCCAGTATGTAGCCTGTTCCAGCGGCAAAGTTCGACACTCCACTTCTGGAAATAGTATAGCTAAAAACGGACCATTTAAGTTGTTCATTTGTATGCGAAATAAAGCTGTTGTTACTTTGCTAGGCTTTGCCGCTAGTAAATATATCTAAAATTATATGTCAATTACACAGTAGAAGTTAGAGAATGATCTAAGTAAGATACTCATATGATTGAACGACTTACCTGTATTAAGGTTTGTACATGACATGGATTCATTACAAATATCACTGTTTTACTTGCAAATTTGAAACCCATTTCCATACCAAATACAAACGTCATTAGAATAAGCAATATAAGTCGGATTGCGGAATGTGGTTTATTTAATATTCTTGGATGTGGTAGAAATATTGGATTTAAACGTTTTGTAGCCTTAAGTATTATATATATAAATACAATTGTTAGAAATATGGACTCTGTCCAGCGTTGTATATTTGACATGCGATTAATGCATTCTGGTCCTGTAACTCGCGGTATAGCATCGGTTATGCCATCAAGTATCCAACTCCAACTTCCATTCCAATTCCAATTCCAGTTCCACTTCCAACTCCAATCCATTATTTCTTTCTCTTTGATTGATTTTTCTAGTAACTCTTTTTCAGATTTTGATTTTTTTAAAATGTTTTTATTTTTAAAATTTTTTCAAACACTGCGCCACTAAATTTTGCAAAAATAATTGAAAATTGCTTTCTGTCTCAATAAATGAGAGCATAACATAACCATGAATAATTAAAATGAAAATGCATTAAATAAACAGACAAACAAAATATTTTGTATAAGAGATAAAATCATAAGATAAAGATTCTAAAGATAATGACAACGATATTAAACAATTTCAGCATTTCAGATGCAAATTTGTATTTTTGTTAAAGTTTTATCACCACGAATGTGATCGTATTGGGAGCCCAAAAGAAAATTAACAAAAGGCTGAGATCATTTATTGGCAAATATAAGCACCGGTAATATAGAATCTTCAGAGATGCTCTTCAAAATTTCATTGTATTTAGAAGAATATAAATGGAATGCTTGAGCCTCGCTACAAAATAAATATCGATCAAATATTTAATATTAAGTTGAGTTAAATAAAAGAATAGTTAATGTTAAGTTTTGTTTGATCTTAGCAAAACTTTTACCGAATTATTTAAATTGATGAACCAAGTTTATAGTGTTGATTGTTTACCCCATGGTAAACAATGTGTAATATATACGGTTCAAACTGGTCGGGAAGATATATATGATGAGCAGCATGCTGACTAACCGAAATCCTCGAACAGTGCATATTTCATCAAAACGGATTTATGTTAAAGATCAACATTAATATATCGCATTTTATTCCAATAATTAGAAAACCGAAAAATGTGTGCCCGATTTGTTCTGCACAAGTTGACTGACGATCAAAAATTGCTCTCATCGATCGACAAACTCTTGAGCGTGATTTTACGACCGAAACTTGGTAGAAGCCATCCAAAATGATATATCGATTTCTCGATAGCTTGCTAGAAACTATGAGAACGTAACAGGCTTTTACGTTCTGTAACTCCATTAAAAAAGAAACAGAACAAAGTGTAATTCGTTTAGAAAATATAAAATCAGCTATAAATTGAAAAATACAATAATATACCAGAACAACGTAGCGTATTTATTGAAACCTTAATTGGGTGTAAATTCTAACTTGCCACCTATAAAAAGTTGTTATTTCATAAATCAATCTTGAAATTCTTAGGGACGTACAATATACTAAAGTATTGAGTTTTAACGTGGCGCAAGAATATGCAAAGGCACACAAAAAGCGACTAACACATCATGTTAGCAGCGATGGATCCGTTCTTCATCAAAGGTGTACCAAACAGCGACGGGGCAAAAAAATACAACTGATTCAGATTGACTATATTTTTATCTAGATATATGTAGTGTATACAAATTCTTATTCTTTCATAATTATTTTAATATGACACATATCGTATTTTATCACATTTGTTTTTACAAATATTTATTTATGTGTGAGACAAATAAATCTAAATTAAAGGTCTAGTTTATGTTATACGAGATAGATAAAAAAATATAGATACAGATATGCAAACAATAAAAATTATTATATTAACGATAAAGGCTGTATTAATACGTATCAATAGATTGCTAAAAAAAACATAATATGTCCTCCAAAGTCTCATTCATCACAAGACAAAAGTTCAGAGGAGTAAAAATGTTTGTATAGATAGTCTGTATTAACGTATCCCTGGATTTGAAGTTTAAAAGCAAATATGTTGGTAATGCATTATTATTAAATAATAGACTATAAATGCACCCCGATCTAAAAGACCTATTGTGCGCCTTGATAATACATATTTAATTATTAGAAAAAGTTTGATAGAAAGGTTTCGAAAAAAAGTGAACTACAACAATAAAAATTAATTTTATACTGATTTAATTAATTGAATTTTTGACTGACCATAGAGCAATTTAGAGTATTGCCAAATAACCATCATCAGTGGTCTTGGATTTAAATCTTATATTTAATTATTCGTAATTAATATTTTGAGATATAAGTACCCAGGGGTTGAACTTGTACCCAAATACAATAGTTTGTATTAAGTATAATAGTCACTTCCGTTATCAGTGACGTTAAATTGAACCTAAAAAAAAGAAAAAGTTTGATGGTAGAATTATCGAGAAGGGCTGTCCAGACCAGATGCGATAGCGGGCCAATACAAACCACTGTACAGATTGAAGGGCCGTAGAAACAAATACATACTTTCATAGTTGTTTTCGACAAAAATAAAAATACGGTTATAATGTTAAATTTATTAATTTATCAATTTAATTTAATTTATTTGGTATAGCACAAAAAATAAAATATTGTAGTTTTGTATTTGTAATAGATTAAAAACATGTCGCGGGCCGTACAAACATTAGCTCCGGGCCGAGCTTTGGACAGACTTGATATAAAAGCCTGATATAAAATTTTGACTTGGGTACAAAACCTAATACAATTATGTCTTATGAATATTAGATGCATTTTCCAATATAGAGATCTTCAAAAGGTTAAACAAAGCTAAAGAATTGTTAACAATAATAAAACCATGAAAATCTGCATATTTTGGAATATAATGTGGTACTCAAAATAGAGATTTCATCATTTAATTATGGAATGGAAAATATAAGGCCGACGATGCCCAGGAACGTATCGTCGGCAAACAATAGAGAAGAATATTCGTGTTTAATTTCAATAATTGCTTAATACTAAGAAAAAACTTTGATTTTTGATTCCAATATAAGTATAACATTTTACATCCTTATAAATCTATATTTTGAAAGGAACGAAAAGTGACGAAATATAGTTTAAATTTTATGACTAAAATGATCGTATCATATTAGGTTGACTATTCAGCTATAAAGGTCCTAATCTTTGATTTCGAATCATTATTTACTCTTTAAGATTATTGCCTATTTGTTGACTTGTTCGGTTGTTAATATTTTAGAAAACACTTAAAAAGAAATTTTGTTGATTGATGAGCTTGCGTGTTTATAAGAACCACAAAACGAGTGAAAATGTTTAAAATCAGAATTTTGTTGACTAAAAATGCTTGCACAATCTCTAATTGCCACATAACTTTTATTTGTGTTTTATGGCTTTTTATTTAAGGAATTTTTAAGCTTCTTGACTTTCGCTATTAAATCAAATTTATTCAAAGCTCAAAAGAAACCGCAGAGGAGTATGCAAATTACCTGTAGGCGCCTATTACAAATAAATCAATTATATGCGCACAGAAGTTTGGCGTGACGCCAAGCAACATGTTGTGGGGGAAGTACATTTGAGCGTTGTGTACACAGGAAATCAAGGAAACCAAATTATTTGCAGTTAGACTTTATTTTGAACAACACTTTTTACTTTTTATATCTGTTTATATCTGTGATACGCAGATGTTTTGGATTTCACAAGGATTAAGTCAAACAATGCGTATTACACAAAAGAAATATGAGCGCGAGTTTCATCTCTAATCAAAGTTGATTTATTTTATTTATTTAACGTATAGGTAAATTAAAGAATAAAAATTAATAAATATGTGATATAAGCATAAAATGAATAATTAAACTTTTAATCAGTGTAAGGAGTCATGATATGCAGGTGGGTTTTTGTGTCTTTGTGGAAATGCATAGGACAGTCGTCAAAAATATGGGCGACAGTCTAATTTGGGAGGCCACATGGGTACTTTGATTTGATATTTTTATAATTAATTTATCTTAAATCATGTTGAATTTATTTAAGAAATTTTTAACAGTTAAGGCTTTTCGATTTATTTAAAAAAATGAAAAAACTAAAAAATTGATCAATGATGGATTTAACTTAAAGAGTTTAGATGTTTTAAATATAGTGTGTGAAACAGAAGCAAAAAACACACGAAGTTTAGAGATATTGCATTCTAGTTATCAATAAATAAATGCAGTAATACATTAATATTATGTTTTGAGAAGTTAATATTTAGCAGTTAAAATTTTAAAACATTTTTTAGTTGCTGCAAAATAAGCTTAACAAAACTCATCGAATGTGATTATCTGTAATTTTTTTGCAAGGGAAGAAGTTTGGAATCAGTGTCAAAAAAGTAAACCAAGTAATTGGATTTTTCTATGAATATACTTTGAGCGTAAAATATTTAGATCTTGCTCTTATAGTTCCAAAGGTTGTTTGGACAAAAGGTAGGAAATCTATTAATATGAATACAATTTTTTGTGTTGATTTATTAAATCAATATGAATATACTCTGAGTGTAAAATATTTAGATCTTGCTCTAAATATTTAGATCTTGTTGTATGGATGAAAGGTCACAAATCTATTAATATGAATACTATTTTTTTTGTTAATTTATTAAATTTATTAAAAATTTATTATTATTAATTTATATAAAGAATGCAGGCTTCAACAATTAAATATGAAAAATTTTATAGAAAAAAATTTTATTTTATTGTCTCTATAAATAAGAACTATATTTATATATTACGGATACAAATTATATCTTTATAATGTAATAATTTCCTCCTCTTTATTTAACAAACTCAATCGATTAATCAATCATCTCATTCACAGAAAGAAATAAATAATACAATTGATATCATATCTTAAAACACTAAATTGACCTTTGTATAGGTAATTAATGAAGATAAATATATTTATTAATTTGTACATCCTGCAGCAACACTTAAGTGAAAGCGCCGCTATTATGATAACTTTTCTCATAACAACCATTATTGTTTACAACTTTATGATTGCACTCTCGTGCGTATGAGCAATGTAAGGATTTCTATTGCTCTCCAGAAGAGAGCACTACTGCAATTAAATAACAGAGTTGCCAAATTATATAAAATTAATACAGCTAAGAGACCACAAAATATATAATATTTTCTTATAAAAATATATAAAATATGGAGATTTTTTAATTAATGTTAATAATACTGTTTGCATTTTTTATTTTGTTTGACAATAGATTTAAATATTTGTTAGAATTCAATTCGTTTTTCATACTATATTTTAACTTTTGCATATTTTAGCAGTTTATAATTTTCATTTTCTATTTAAAACAATTTGTTTTTATAATTGGTTTTTACCAATACAAAAAAACACTCTTGTAATACATAGAAATTTTGAAAAAGTCCAATACATTAAATAAAAATTTTTAATATATCTTTCTCTTTTGATTCCTGTTGCCTTATTCATTTATTCACTAAATTAGTAAATTAAAAATTTGAAAAAGAATTATTCGTTGGAACTACCACATATATATTAGACATTAAAAATGTTGACTTAAGAATCTCATTTTTATCTAAAATGACAAGTGCTACACAGTGACAAGAAGATAGTGCCCTTTCTCTCTGCCATTTCTACTCGTCATTACAGCTTTTCCAAAAACTATTGCTACATACATTAAATCTTTTAACATGGGTTCTTATTGGGCAGTATCAATTTTTTATTCCAATCAGTACAGAGAGAGAGGAGAATGTTGAAATTAAGAATATTATACAAATTTAAAATACAAATTTCATAAAATTCATATACTGTGTAAAATATTTATTATTCATAAACAACTTTCTTATATTAATAAATGTTGTGATATATGCAACATTGTATGATATGTGTTTATATTGATTTAAATGAATTTGTTAAATTTTTATTGCCAAATTATTTGATAGAAAATTATAAATGCTTGATGGCAACCCTTATAATACACAATTATTTAGAGCAAAGTGCACGTGAGCATAAAAAACAAAAAGGACAACAAAATTTAGAAAGCCAGTAAAATAATAATATAAAAAAGAAATTTTTAATAATTCCAAAATAAAAAAAAAATGGACAACATAAATAAAATATAAAATTAAAAAAATTAAAAATGAATTAAATTTTTCTTATTTTATTCCAAATTGTTTACAATGGCGCAGCACAACAATTCATTTATTTTCTATATTTCTTTCATTTGCATAAATAATTTTTTTCACACATCGATAATTTGATTTAATGATTGTTAACAAGCACTTATATTATTATAATTATGAAAATAAATTTTTGTTAAGCCGAATTTTTTGATTATAATTGAAATGACGAAGGATTTGTGAATAATTTGTTATGGTCGCTTTACCTGTGCTTAGTTTTAGGTGTGTGCGACATATTTTCTTATAAAACATTTTATGCTAGCATTCGAAACATTTCCAAAAACTCTTATACATTTTAACTAAGAAGTGAACGACTTTTGACGTAATTTATATTTCAAAAACATATTTGCCAGCGTTTTCACTTTTTTCACACACACAGAATTTCACAAACTTTCTTTCTAGATTATTTTATAGCGAATTCAACGGAATTATTACATGACATCCGTCAAAGCACGAAACACGCAGACTGAGTAGTTCTATTCCGAATAACATAAGCATTTTTGGCTTTTAGTCCTTTCACCAACACACTCACAAAAAGTTTGCTCTGTAGCTATGGCTTTGGTTGCCATAAGCATACAAGGAGCATAAACATAAACGAACGAGAGAAACAATTTTTAATGCTGCAATGCTTTTTTCCTCTCTCAACACTTTTCAAGTTATTAATGTGGAGAGCATCAAGCATGCTTTCAAGTTTAAATTAATAATGGATTTCATTTTAAATTATTTTAAAAGTCAAACTTTTTAGAACTTCTTAAAGAACTCATTTTACTAATATATAGAAATTTTTCGTTTGTTAAGCACTTCCAATAATCCCATAAGATTTTTTTGTTTTATTTTGTAAGATGCAACGTTCTAATGTTAGCTATTAAATATTGTTATTCTTATTAATTTATTATCACATTCTTTATAGAAGGGGGTGGTAGAGAAATTATCTGAAGCTAGGCGGAAAAATGAAGTCCATTGCTCTAACCTAACAACAATTCATGATTCAAGAATCACTTTGTTTAATTATGTGAAATTCAGATTGACATCATTTATTGAATATAATGATTGCATATTACAGAATATGCAGATGTCAGTGTATTTTAATTTTATTTTTGAAAGGTAGTAAATAGGGACGCGCTCAGTTAAGAAATCATTGATTAATAGCATATTTGGTGGGAACCCAAATGAATTGTACGGATTAGCTTAAGTTTTAATATTTGACAAATAATTCTCATTCGATTTTTCTAAGACTCCTTCTAAGATTCAATGAAATTATAATTCATTCTTATCACTTTTAGTACAAGTATAAGAACAGTATTAATTATAAACTGTTGTAACTATTTTATTTTTACAAGCTGTGACCAAAAATATAATTAGTTTATACGATAAAAAGGTTCCTAGATCACGTTCTAAACATAAGAAAGAGTATATAAATCATGCAACAAATAATACCTCTACAAACAGAAAAGTATTGAAATTTAATAATTAAAAATAAAAACATGATTAATTAATTCAATTATTCTAAAGCTGGTTTATGGATTCGTTTTAATATAAACACAGCAAGTGAATTTTTTAATAAAACTTTCACAGCAAATTAACAAAACTTCAGAAAAATGTGCGAACATAAAAAGTCAAGTTCGGCTTTGGGTCAGTTGGTTAAAGAGCGCTGACTCTGAGCTTCAAATTTGGCAGGACACGAGTTCAATTCCTGGTAGTTGCAGTCTCACGAAAAAAAAAAATTATTTACGAATAATTAAATACAAGAATTATTTCCAAGTCCACTAATGATGGGTATTTGGCAAAAATAAAATAAATTTTTATTGTTGTAGTTCACTACTGTTTGAAAAAAAACCTACTTATAAATAAATAATGTAATAAATTATTAGAATTTAATACATAGGTTGAACATTTGCTCAATTTCTTATTCTCTGCTCACATATATAGCAACCATCATATTTATTATTTTACAATCAATCAAACAATTAAATACTACCTTAAATCAAAGGTCAACGCATTTTGAATAAAAAAAGGTATAAGTTGCTTTGTTATATTTTAAATATGAATATAAATTTTAATTACCAGCATTATATGCAATAGTAATGTTTAATAAATAAAATTATAGGTTTCATATAAATAACACTATTCTTAAACAATTATTGTTTCTATCGTTCAACTACTATTTTGAACGTTGAATATATAATGATATATATTGACAGAATGTTAGTCTTCTTCGATTGGATATTTTATCAATCTTATATGGCCTGCATCCGTTAATTGTATCCATTGTTTATGCGGCATTATGCGGGATGTAAATCTCCTTTGACTGGATATTTTATCGATCTTCTCGGGTCTGTAGTCTTCAATTGAATCTTTTGTTTATGCGGGATTGTCTTAAACACATTTTAGATTAAGTTCATACATGAACAATTCTAAGTAGAAAGAAGTTGAGTGCTAAAAGTATTTACATCACGTTATATTTGGCACAATAAATAATAATAGGAGAGTTGAAGCTATTGGCCACCAATTGTACCGAGTGGAAGATATTTGTTGCGGCCCTACGCTCCTCCTAGGAGTTAAAGGATTAAATATATATATATATTTGCCGATAGATTTTCATTTGATTCGAAACAAAACTTTTGGAATGACATTAAATTAATATTAAAAAACTTTAACCAATTTCATGATTTAATGCATACTAATGGGTTTATACGTTATAGACTAATAAAATAATACGGGTAACAGTTTAAAAATAATAGTTTCACAAGAAATGAATTCGAGAGCTATATAAACTTAAAATTTCTGCAGAAAATCTTTATATAAACATTTTCTATTATCAATTCCAGATAAAATGAAAACAGAAACTGGAAAGTAGGCTCATATATCACATTGTGCAAACTCATCATTTTAATTTAAAAATTTTTCTTCAGTTTACTTTCAAATCTATGTATTCAATCAGAGTATTTTTATTCAAATAACAATTAATTATTCCAAAATATTTTTTTTAAATATATTTTCTATAAACTTCATTTTTATTTTCATTGCACATATTTACAGCAATCACGTGTAGATTAACATTTATTTACATTAGGGGTAAATTAGAATAATATTAAACTATTTTTGCTTTAAAACGAGTGATATGAATTCCAATATACCTATATCGTCATAAGTTTCATAAAGTATATATGACAAAATGTTCATAATAATAGCCGTATTTGTATAAACTATACGTATCATTAGAATCATAAATAACACTCGGTTTTTTATGAAGATAATTTAATTTTAATTATGTGGTGAACATGCAACACGCACTGCAAGGCAAATAACATTCATTATTAAAAGTTTCAATAAATCCAATTAAATTTATTCAATAATTTTGCAACTCATGAAAGACATTGCAACTTACATAAATCAATTTATTGTTCTTGGTCAACCAATGAGATTCGAATAAATATATTTATTTTAATATTGCACTATATAAACAAAAACTGACACTCGAACTTATAATCGAAAAGTTAAGAAAACATATTTACAGCTTAAAAACTAATTCTAATACAATCGTAGACACAACACGGAACCGTTAATTTCAGACTGAAGATCTAAACTATTTCGTATAGGGCCATACCAATTGCCTGCAATGGAAAAATGCCGGGCTTTTTACTGCGCATGCGAATATTAAAATTCTATTTGCCTCAATGAAAGTTGTCACAACTGTGTTAGGTGCTTATTTGTTTAAGTTTTCAAGCTTATTAGTTTTTTTATGTAATATTCAACAAAAATAAATCGATAAAAAATCAACTTTAAATACAGGGTCAAACAGTTAATTCTGACAATAAAAGTTGATAGTTTTAACTGAATAGTAGTTATTGTACTGCTGAAGATATGGTGGACCGTAGTGCTTAATATCTCTTATATAAAGGATTACTGTCTTGAAATTATATTAGGAGCTCCTTTATGCAATAAATTTAATGCCAATACACAAATACAACATCATCTAATAAAAATAATTTTTAATTGATGACATGGTCTTAGTATATTAACGATATTGCTAGTCTCCATATTGAAACTTCTTCACCACATCATCCTGAGACTTACTCTACTCTCGCTGCTTAAGGATTCCACTTTAGCACTACATGCTCTATCTATTCGAAAATATCCAGATCAATTAAATTTCCTGCATATTATTTCTTTCTGGACCGCTCTATGTTTTTACAATTGTCACAAGGGTACGTTGCGATGACATCAGATGCCGATTATATTACTCAACAACTTACTGACAAAAGCTTAAGACAATTTTTGTCATTTTTGTCAGATGTCACATTTCGCTGTCATTATTTATAGTCTGCTTTATGGATATCCTAAATATTTTAATTTTGTGTTCTCCTTTTGGCGCATTATATATGCAAGCTTTAACATCTGAGTTACACCTGAAAGCAACATTACCCCTAATTAACAGCAATAAAAGGAATCTCTATAGACTGACTGACGACTTCCAAAACAGCAATTCCGCACAATATTTAACGTTATAGCTACAATTAGATAGAAGAAATAACTTTTTTAAATATCTCTTTAATAATCTTGGCTAGTTAGTGGTAATTAATATAAACGATCGTTAGAAGTTCTTAGACCGCATAGATTTAATCTAACAGTGCTGCTTTGATAAACTACTGTATAATCAGTTGCTAGTGAAGCTGTACCAGAAAAACTGCGCGGAAGCGGAAATTAAACTCATGGGGAGTGATCACTTTAACTAACCAAAAAACCAATGAGTATTAAACTATAATAGTATTAGCCCAGTAAAATGCCGCTTTGTCGATTTTAATAAAATTTTATAATACCACCTTTCGGAGTTAGGTCACTGCCAAATTATTCGAAGTATTGAATATTTTCCACAGATTCTCCTGCTATTTATTTGATTCTTTGACTGATCTCTAAGTTAATTTGCTATAATTGTATCTATCCAGTATGTCATTATTTGTGTTCCAATTTGATGGATTCATCAGAATGTTTTAAATGTTTTAACCAGATTTTGTTTAATTGTGCTTGGAATAGTACCAATCACGATAAAGAAAGTATGTATTATATCTATATATTAGACTACTTTTGGAGTCTAATTCTTCTGCTTTTAGTTCTTTGCTTCTTTGACAAAATGTTGTGTGGCATACCAAAGAGAGTGAAAGTAATAATAACCTCATAATAACCTGGATTATTTTGGTTCATTTTAGTTGATTTAAAGAAGGTATTATGCCTCTGATATTGTCATCTCGATTATACAAAATTCGAAATGTAGCATACATAAAGTTAAATCAGTCATTAAGTGAAGTCATTGAAATTGTATCAATTTCTTTAGTGATTCATTAATGTGGAATGTGGTTCATTCGAGATGTCTGGTTATACATATACAATTTAATAATACTAAATGTGTTAATTATTATTATTATTATTAATTGTGTCATCTGCCACATAAGGAAATCGACTGTCATCCTAGTTTATATTCCTGTCTAAAACAATGATGAGTGAAATCGTTATTGATCTAAAAAAGGTGATGCTCCTCAGCTGGAGACATGGTAAGGAGTGACAACAAAGGAACTGAAATTGCGTGTTTCATGATATTGTAAGGAAAGCACCCACTATATATGATTTATTATATATATATGATTTATTTCTAAAAAAAATAATAAACTTGCTTTTCAACAAAGATTACCCTATTTTGCTGTTTAAAATTAATAAATAATTATAAATGTGGAGTGTACTGATATAAGCATATCTTCCCATCAATAGTTATTATATATATGTATTATTATATCTTTGTATCAATATCTTTCTCTATTTTTTATGTATTAAAAATTCCGAATTTTCCCAACTGATTAGAAAAAAACCGTAAAGTTAGTTAACTGATAAAATAAAAATCAAAACAGAAAAAGTGTCAACTAGAACACAAAGTCTTCCGCAGTTATAACACTACAATATATATATATATATATGGAATATATGGACAGATAAGTGTAATGTCAATGTCAATTACATAAAAGGTCTTCCAAAACACATGTGGTGCTGTTTAGTGGTAATTTGTCAATGAATAAACGGTGAATTCCAATAATCAATATAGTAAAAAACAAGAACATTAATCACATATTCCGCTACCACAACCTCCGAACCCCCGAACCACTAGCCAACATGCGGTTAATGCAAGCAACTTATATTTCTGAATAGGGGCAGGCAACAAATTATTAAAATAAGGTGACCCATTTGAAAGAGGAAATTCGAAAACCAATGAAAAGCAATTACAGTGCACTAACAGTTTTGACATTTGCATGCTCTCCTCCTCCCTGGTTGTAACAATTTTCATGGTAATTTCATTTTTTTTATTGATTTTTTGAAAGAATATTAATAAATTTAATTAGGTTGCCAAACACAACAGATACTTTTTGTTAGTAAAGTTATATATTTACTAAATGAGCAGTTCAGCGTCGAAAGCAATTTATGGCAGATTGTTTACAGTTAATATTCATTATTTAACATAGTTTTAAGGACATTTACGTTGAATATGTTTAACATCGAAAAGAAATTAATTTATTTTTTTTTAAATAAAAAAATTAAACTAACAATTGTTAGACATGGGTACATAGCTGTTGAGCGCTCATGTGCTTTTACTTTTTCAGGATATATGTATGTACAATGAAATATTGTATTCTAATAACTCTTTCTCATTCTCGTTGATGTTTATAGCTGTTCTATATATTAAACCATTTGTGGTAATGCTTTTAAGCAGAGGTTAGTTTAAACATTGAAAATGTTTAAACAGTTCTTATTTCGGGCTTCTCAGTAGCTTTATATGGAACTTTGACTGTTTTTTCATTTAATCAGTATACTTGAACTGAGCACTGATAACTGCGTTAGTGAAGTGCAGGAGTTTATTTTGTATTTGATATAATTCATATTTTTAAGACATTTTTATATATTTATAATGAACTTGATACTTATTATTGTCATTACGAATGTATGGTAACTTGTTATTCGTGTTGAACGTATGGTTTGATATGCACATAATAATCCCAACCATGGCTTTCGTGAAGCACTTGTCATTCTCAAAGAACAATCATTTGACCTATTTAAGGGCAGCAAAAGGTTTACAAATCAGATGTCCAAGTCGCTCAGTTACCCTCAGTGTTGTAGTTTCTGAAAAGACGTTTCTTGATAATGGAACTCTAATTATTCATTCAGATAAATTTGATAACGATAATTACGTTTAATTGGTAATTAAACTCAAAGTAGCAATATAAAGTTGGGTAGGTGAAGATTTTTGACAGATCACAAGATTTTTCTTATCCAAACTGGATAAAAGACTTACCAGTTAGTTGCTTCAATTGCGGTGTTGACAGGCTACTGCGTATTAAGAAGGCTTGTAATAGAACTCTGTATACTCTCTAACAACCTATGTGTTGGTTGTGGTTCTCTAGATGAGAAAGAAACTGAACTCTAATCAAAGAATTTCGTCCATGTATTTTAACTACTTTAAAACAGAAAAAATCATATTTCAAATATTTTGCATTATTATATATTTATAATACACATTTTAAACAAACTTTGAACAAATCTGAAAACATTTTTTCTCCAGCACTCTTTTTGGTCAAACTCTAAACAATTTATATTGAATATGTTTTATAAACACATATTGACAAAGGCATGTTTTGACTATGAATATTATAAATATGTGACTTTATTAATCACTTAATCATTTTGTGAAGTCTCTCCGGTCCTTCCATCATTTGGAACTCCGATCCTTCCATCATTGCTCTATATAACCGTGGCTCTCGTGACTCTGGTCACAGAGTTCATCTTAGTACCTCCGCGCTTGTGCTATATCCTTATCCCCTTCACCACCTCCCCATCTCCCTATTTTATGCCCATGCTTTCTGATTTAGGTGAACCTAGCTAGGTATTAAATCTATTCACTCTTTTCTCTCTCTCTCGTCTATTGGAATGAATTTTCCTCATTGCTTTGAAAATCTTCTCATTTCATTCCTAAGAGGTGGTTTAGTGGGTTCAAGTCTCACACGTTGGTTTTCGATGATTCCATTTACTGCAAAATAAAAATATTTTGTGAACGATTCCGTCGTACTTTTAATACTATAATTATTATTGCTGTAATATATAGTTATTTTATACAACTGATAGAAATATAACTACATATATGGTCACATTATAATATACGAGGGCGGTTTGATAAGTCAGTGACTTTTTGAATAAAACAAACTTTTTTCGGTAGATAAATATTTTATTTTTCTACATAATCACCTTTTAGCTCGATACATTTAGTCCAGCGTTTTTCTAATTTTCTTATTCCCTCCAATTAATAGGTTTTCTCAAATCTCTTCTTCTTTCTTCGATTCGACTGAAATCTCTTACCGCCCAGCCATTTCTTTTTGCAAACAGAAAATAGTCGCAGGGGATTAAATCTGGAGAATATGCTGGATGGGGTAGCAGTTCGTATTCCAATTCGTGGATTTTGGCCACGAATGCTTAATCCGCACACGAAATTTAATTTTTTCCATTTTCGTAAAAAGTCACGAGGTTGTCTGCTTTGAACGGCTATAAAACACCAACTGAACGATGTAGCTTGCTCAAAATTAGAAAGTTGCCCACTAGTAGATTACAGCTGATGGCAGCACTGTTGCATTTGGAGTAACTGTGCAGGATATTCAAAAAGTCACTGACTTATCAAACCGCCCTTGTACAAGACAACAGTAAAATTCTATAGAATGTGAAAGTGATTTCACAGAATCATGAAGATCTTATAATGACAAAATATTTCCGCTGTTTTGGGTATGTTTGCGTACAATAAATCAAAAAAATATAGGCACAACAACATTTGTAGAAGTAAATATGTTAAAACCCTAACAAATTAATCAAATATTTAAATTAACTTAGTAATGCTATCGTTACCTTAAACACATATTTATCATATTATAAATACAGCCAAATTATATAACGAATAAAATGAGATACATTTGCTAATAGATTATAGTGAAGCCATGTAATTTGTGGAATTTTCTCCACTGCGCTTTAAACCAACATAACTCATACCTTTAAATATTGAAATTGAAAGTTGTAAACTATTACATTAATTTCATTAACAAAAAACTACGCACGCTATCTAGCGCTAACTAGTATATGCAATTTGTATGTTGAATACATTAACCACTAATAATAACAAGTACACATGCCAGATGAAGTTAAAGTGTTTTTAGTAAGTTAAAAGTAATTTCAACATTTTATACTGTATTCACACGAGAGTTATTGTAATTTTAGCTCTCAAAAATTTTAAACTGACATCTGAAATCAAAAAACAAAAACAACAATTCACAGTTCACAATTTTTAAAAGTTCACATAAATTAACAAAAATTTGGATTAATTATCGTTTTAAATACATAGCACACTTTTTTCTTTAATATTTTTTCAGGAAATTTTATAAATAAATTATTAAGTAAAATTTGTAAATGGCAATGTTTTAAAATATATTATTTACAATATGTGTTTTTCTGCAATTGTAAATAATATAGAGAAACTATCTTTGCCACTACTAATCGATAAAGGTGGCATATTCACAAAAATCAGAAACAATTTCATAGTTGCATTTGATATATCATGTGATTTTGTTGGTGTTGTCTTTCAAAACACAAAGGTTAATGTATTTTTATTTGTCAATTATTTACAATTCAATACATCGTCTCTATTTTATATATTAGAGACGATTTAGAAATTTGCCCATTTCCAAACAATTAAATAATAATTATATGGCAGCACCATTAATACACAAATTGATAAATTTGATGTAAGAGAAAATGTCAAAATTTTAATTCTGTTCATTGCATGTATTTGATCACGTTTCTTTATTGATAGGGAATTTTCAAAATTATTTTATACTAAAAGTGAGAGTGTGCGGTTTTGTTAAAAAGCCGTGAAATGAAAAAATAAATTAATACAACTGTTAGCGGATGTTTTAGTAGCATTGCTGCTAAACACCCGACTTTGAATTAATGTAAATTATGCACTTAATTCTCATAAATTTTTAACTTAATTTGTTCTTTTATTGTCTCTTATTTTGCAGTTTTGCTATTTTTAATTAATTTAGTTCAGGGACAAACTGCATAACAGTAGCGAAAGTGTTAGCCGGTTCATAAAGTTATCGAACTTGTAAGAAACATTTACATGGAACAATTGCATTTATTAACTCAGACGAAACTAAAGAAAAATTAATTTAAAATTCCATGTCAGTAAACATTAATAACATAATTTGAGCTGGTCTTATACATAAATAAAAGTAAAAATCCAATAATGAGCACCGCATCACAATATAAAATGGAAACAGTGTTTGATTACACTTGGAGAGAAGTTGTTGTTGCTTACTGGAATCGTTATCCGAATCCCTCAAGGTAAATGGTAATCGTTTTTTCGTATGTCGCATATAACTTACATAAATAATTTTTATTTGCAGCTCACATGTTCTCACGGAGGATACTATTCGTCGAGAAGTACGGGAAGGCAAACTATATTCTCGGCGTTTGTTGTCTAAAACCAATCCAGTACCTAAATGGGGAGAGCGATTTTATAAGAATGTGCCAGTTAAAATTATAGAAGATTCAGTACTCGATCCAAAAAAGAAAACGCTAATTACTTTTACAAGAAATATAGGTTTTAAAAAAATAATGGTAAGCTGGTGAATAAGTTTCTTAAAATTCCACGTTTTAGATGTTGTAAGGGTAAGAAGAGACGTGTGAATTTAATCTTAATAACTTATTTAGTATTCGATTTTTTATTTATTTAAATTTAAAGTTATAGATTCTAGAATTTATAAAGCAGTAAATTGAATTTTTTTAATGTTTTTCAATTTCTATGTATATATATTTTGTATAGAAACAGTTTCTATGCATAAAATATTAATAATATTAACGTACGTGACCTTTGGACTCTTACAAAAATTTAATGGGAAGTTTTATAGTTAGTACTGTATTCGTACATAGCTCAAGAGAATGATACCTACGATATATCTCATTATATTAGTACAAATAATTGAACTTAGTGTATATTAATAACTTTAAAATTTTATTCTATTTCAATTTTATTTTTATTTAAAAAGCAAAAATATTTAAATATGACATGATAATATTCACAACAAGAATCTGCTTAGGCCAGATCTTTCTTTGGGTGTTATCTGAATTTTCAGACAGTAATATTAAGTTTAAAAATAATTTATATTATGTATAAGATAATTATGTAACAAAAATGTTTTACTCTATTTATTAGTAAATTTTCCATTTTTCAGAAAGTGGATGAAATAGTTGAGTACAGCGAGTTATCAGATGGACGCACACTAGCAGTAAGAAAAGCCTTCATTAGTTCGCAAGTGTTCGGTTTTTCGCGTGCAATACGTGCTTTTGGTATTGAACGTTTCAAATCAAATTCCAATAAAGCTGCAAATGGATTTAATTATGTCCTACGCAAGATGTTCCCGAAACATGTTTCTGCATCTTTAGCAACACAATACGCGACCACAGATTATGCCAACACATCGAAAAATGAACAAAATGCTTTATTGCCTATAAGTTCTACTTTGAGCAAAAGCGAATCTATTAAAAAGGCTACTAAAACTAGTTATGAAATTTTGAAGTCATATGCTGGCAAACTGGCGCAAATATTTTCTATACGAAATTAAACCAATACTACAGTTAACTAATACTACAGTTCGTCATTCTAAAATTTATAGAAAATGTGCAGATATAATCTTTGAACATAACTTTGGCTGGTGTTTAAAAATAGTTTTAGTAGATTTGTATGTAAGTCAATTATATTATACTACATTAGTGTTGAATGCAATACCTTAACGGTACTATTTAATATTGCCAGCTATGGTAGATATACACAAATAAACTGTCGACAAAGTACGTAGTCCGATTACAAATAATAACATATGTAAATTTATATTAGAAAATATATGTTTTCATTCCAACAATATTTGTACCAATCGATTATATTTTGAACTAAATATATTGTTTTCTTGTAAATGTATTCCTTACTTAAATTGGCAGTATAATGTATTTTAATGTAATAGATAAGAAATTTTAAATTATTAAGTAACTTAAAAAGAAACATTCTTTTTATTATTATGTGTGTATATTTTTATACAATTTTTCCCTAATAAAATGTAGAAAATAAAATACGGACTCTTTTTTTGTGACATAATTAATACCAGTTAAATAGTTGAAATAATACGCGCAAATTATTAAAAAACTATGAAGGGTTTTTAAAAAATCTTAATTCTGTTAATAGTAATATGTCACTAAGATTAAACATCTTATCAGAGGCGTAGTGAGAAAAAAAGGAAAAATTTTAAGTTCCTTTAATTTTTCAAAGGCAACGCAAAATAATACATAATAATAAAAACAATGTAACAAATTTTCGCTAAAATTTGGATTAGTTTATTAATATATTAATTAAAAAAGCTTAGTAATTGTTGTTTTAATTAATTGTTTTCAAATAAATTGGTTATACCTTGTGTGTTGATAATGTAAAAAGTGTAATATGTTGCATTTAATAATTTTAAAGCATATGTGTATACCTATATATACATATATATATATAAATATATTTTATTTCATTTTTGTCAATTATCGAATAAAAATGAAAAGTCGTTTTTTAAAATATTTTTTAAATCTCGTTTTAACATCCAAATTCCGTGTGGTGAGTATACATATGCAGCGTACTGTCGTTCCTAACAACAAAAGAGATGTAACAGTTTTTTTTTGACAATTATTATTATGTTGAGGCTAGTTGAGTCAGTGTAATTGAGCACTTATATTCTCTGTTAACTGCGAGATTTCTTTATAACCCCTCTCTACGTCTTGACTGGATTATTGTTTATCACTTCATCAGACTAATCAATAATTGACCTCAAATCTGCAATAATAAAAACAAAGTGAAATTTTGCGAGTTGATAGACAGGTAAACTAAAAGCAAGTTCCGTACATTAACTCAAAATAGAGAAATTTCAAGTTGTGCCTCTTTTGAAGAGTAATGATATTTTAAAGTTAATTCAAGTTCTCTTGTCCCAAATTTATTTTGGTACAATTATTAATCAAGTGACTAATCGGAGAATACATCATTCAAATGAACTTTATTCGGTAAGCCTTGAACACAGGCTTACTAAAATTTGAATTATTTATGCCGTTTACATAGACTGTGATTAAAATAAATTCGAAAATACGATATAATACAGGGGGATATTAGTATTATGTAATTTTCGTAAACTTTGCATCAGCATGAAACAGCGAATTTTATTTTCAGTGTCTATAGACTATACTGAATTCAGCAAAACTTTATGTAGAAAACATTTGTGAATACCAGCGGATCATATATGATTATAATTTATATTGGGTAGCTTTTAACTAACTGCTGAAAAATTGAGTTAATCTTAATTATGTGCGTGTATAGAACATAAAACTATCCACAAAACTCAACTCAACCATTTGTCTGTTAAATTATTTTTCTCAAACTCATTGTATAAAAACGTAAAATTGAATAATTAGGCTCAAATTGGCAAACCATGAAAAGCTATATTTAAAGCTATTTTTAAGTATACTATAACCACTAAATCGTACAGTTCTAGTTACATTTTATAAGAATTATTTACTGCAAGTAAAAACCTGCTGTTTTGAATGCTAATGCATAATTAAAGCAAAATGTCAAATTTTACCGCCTTTTTTAAAAATTTTAATGATGCCATGTAAAATATTAAATATCTTCTTATATGCTGGTGAAGAGTAACATAATTATTTAATCTATATTTAAATAGATGTTTTTACATACGCTTTAAAATAACGCTTTACAGTATGTTATTATAAATGATCAGAAAGACATTGAAGTGAAAAATAACTAGAACGTTATGATGTAGTGTGGCATCACTATTTGCATGAAATGAAATTTTTATTTATTGGTGGTGTTTTTTCGAGCAGCACACGATTGTGTTGCAGTTTGTGAAATAACATATTTTGCATAAAATTTTTTACATAAATTTAGTTTTTTATATTTTATTACAATATTTACAAAAATGTCTAACAAAGCTAATAAGCTGGATCCAATACAAGTTGCAGATGAGGGTTTGGTAAAATATTTTTGAAAATTTTAAAAAACGCGGGAATCTACAAATGCAAAAAAGTCGACAAAACAACGGACATATAATATAGCATTTTTTGAATAAAATCAATTGCAGAGAAATGATATTGGGATCAAATTTTATTATATATAATGTTATATACAATAAAAATGCGAACTTTGCCATATTTTTAGAATAATGCTTATGAAGAAAATGTTTAAAAAGGTCTCGAAAAAGTTTTTCTTATAAGAATTACTTTATCTTATAAATATACTTACATTAAATTATAAAGAACTGTGTACAAGTGTGCAGGAGTATAAATTCTATAAATGGTTCCATTATTGTTAATATATACGTAGTATGAGATTAAATAAATGTTGATTGTAATTAATAATGCCTTATACTTAGGTTTGAAAAGTTCAGGTATACATATGTATATAGATCGTACTAAATAATTATAGCAAAAATAAAATGACAATATATATTTGTTATAATAAATAATTTTATTTACATCCAGAATAAGGCAGTTTCTAAGATGACCACATTCTCAGGAAAGAAGGAAGTTAAATTTAATAGTCAAATCGAAATCGCTCGTAGTAAACGTTTTGATTTGTTATTGAAACAAACTGAAATCTTTACGCGCTCTATGACTAATAGTACAAATAGTCCAACTAGAGGACGACATAAAAAAGATAAAGATAAAGAGAACAAAGATAAAGGTGACAGTTCAGCGTATGTAAAAATCAAATTAATTATAAATAATACATATAAATATGCCTTTTCTTTAATAATTTCATAGTCATCAGAATCGCAAAACTTCTCAAGAAAATGAAGACTTGCTTGCTGAAGACACACAATCTACAGAAATTTATCAGTTCAAAAGCTCTCCAAATTATATTAAAAACGGTGAACTACGAGACTATCAAGTTCGTGGTCTGAATTGGATGATTTCTTTATATGAAAATGGCATCAACGGCATTCTGGCTGATGAAATGGGTTTGGGTAAGACCCTACAAACAATTTCTCTTTTGGGTTATTTAAAGCATTTCAAGTAAGTTAAATAGTATGAATAAAAATTTATGACAACATAAATAACTAAGTTTAAAATTAAAATAATAAATAATTAAATCTGAAATTTTAGAAATCAAGGCAATCCACATATTGTGGTTGTGCCTAAATCAACGTTGCAAAATTGGGTAAATGAGTTTAAAAAATGGTGTCCATCTCTACGTGCTGTTTGTCTTATTGGTGAACAAGGTGCACGTAAAAAATTTATTCGTGATGTACTCTTGCCAGGTGATTGGGACGTATGCGTTACTTCGTATGAAATGTGTATTCGAGAAAAATCTGTTTTTAAAAAGTTTAACTGGCGATATATGGTTATTGATGAAGCTCATCGTATTAAAAATGAAAAGTCCAAATTGTCCGAAATTTTACGTGAGTTTAAATCAGCTAATCGATTATTCCTTACGGGTACACCATTGCAAAATAACTTACACGAGTTATGGGCATTGCTAAATTTTCTACTACCCGATGTGTTCAATTCATCTGAAGATTTTGATGAATGGTTTAACACAAATACCTGTCTGGGTGATGATGCACTTGTACAGCGTTTACGTGCTGTTTTGAAACCGATTTTGCTACGACGTTTAAAGTCGGACGTAGAAAAGCAGCTAAAACCTAAAAATGAAATTAAAATTTTTGTAGGATTATCGAAGATGCAGCGTGAGTGGTACAAAAAAATATTGTTGAAAGACATTGATATTATTACTGGCGCTGGTAAGGTTGAAAAAATGCGTTTAGAAAATATTTTGATGCAATTGCGTAAATGTACAAATCACCCATATCTGTTCGATGGTGCTGAACCGGGCCCACCATATACCACAGATACTCATTTAATTTTTAATTCCGCTAAAATGGTTATTCTGGATAAATTATTACCAAAACTTCAAGCTCAAGGTTCCAGAGTGCTGATTTTTTCACAAATGACACGTATGCTGGACATTCTAGAAGATTATTGTTTGTGGCATAATTATCAATATTGTCGACTTGATGGTAAAACTCCACACGAAGATCGAAATAGACAAATTCAAGAATATAATATGGAAAACAGTATCAAATTTATTTTCATGTTGTCTACACGTGCTGGTGGTTTGGGTATTAATTTAGCCACTGCCGATGTTGTCATCATTTATGACTCTGATTGGAATCCTCAAATGGATTTGCAAGTAAGAAATAAATTTTTTTTTACACATAAAAATACAATAATTTGAAATATATTTATTTTTAAATAGGCTATGGATCGCGCACATCGTATTGGCCAAAAGAAGCAAGTACGTGTGTTTAGGTTCATAACAGAAAACACCGTGGAAGAAAAAATTGTTGAGCGTGCTGAAGTTAAATTGCGTCTAGACAAAATGGTATTGCAGCAGGGTCGCTTAGTTGACAATTGCACAAATAAACTAAATAAAGATGAAATGTTAAATATTATACGTTTTGGTGCCAATCAAGTGTTTGCTTCGAAGGACTCTGAATTAACTGAGGTTAATATAGATGAAGTTTTAGAACGCGGTTTATCTAAAACAACTGAGAAAAACAACAATTCCAATCAGTTGAGTGAAAATAATTTGTCTTCATTTCAAATTGATAACCTTGATAACATTGAAAATGAAGCAAATTTGATAAATCTTAAAAGATTCAATGACGAACAATTTGATATTGAAAATAAGAAACGTAAGCGTAGGAAATTGAACAGAATATAAATAAAATTTTTGAGGACTTTAATTTTTTAAATTTAATTTTTATATATTATTTTTGGTGAATTTCATAAAAATTAGAATATTGTTATTTAATCATATTTAATATATTTTATAGTTAATTTAATATTGATATTACCTATGTTATTGTTAGTGTTATACGTCATTACGCATTTTTCAAAAAGAATTTTTTTTTTCATTTACATTACAGTTTAATAAAAAAATACAATCTTTATATACAATTGATAGATTATTTAATCTAATCTAATTTAATCTGATTTGGAAACCTTAGATATGGAAACCTGAAGAGGATCGAGCAGTAGTTTCCCGATCTTCTTAATGATCGATATTTGATGCAAATTTGGTGTTTAATACAAATTACTAAACCTATTCTATTATCTGAATTTTAAAATAAATCCAATTTTACGGTACTTTAACAATTTAGATATCATGTAAATATTGTTTTATTACATATTATATTATGTGATATTATAGAATAATTAATAGATGGTATTCCTGTGAACCAATCAGCAAAACACGCAAGGATGGCAGTAATCAGAGTCATGAGATTATGCCTCAGACACACTCAACATCTTGACGCATATGATCCCAATACATATACACATTAAAGAAATTTCCGTTAAATTATAGCCATATCTGTTAACAATGCCAGTGCAAGAAATTTTCAATAAAATTGACTAGGCTGTTCTGAAAGTGACATTCGATAAGAATTTCGTTATATATTACACATTGCGAACAGAATGGAATAGGGAATCTTATAAAAATGTAGGGAACGTTTTTAAGAAAACACGCCAAGGTCTTACCGCTATGTTACGCTGGATATCAAATGAGCGTTGCTTTTAATAGTTTTAACATATGTACATATTAGTATGTGATCGAATTCAAATATATTTCAAATTTAGCTATGAGATATGTATATTAGTATAACTTATTATTAACCCTTTTGAAATGAGTCTTAGGGCCTTGTTGCACAGATTACCTAACGTTCGTTAATCACCACATTTCTTATGCTTTTAAATATTTAATTCACAGTAAAAGCATCCACAAATGTGGAGATCGATGATCATTATTGCCCCTGCGTTACATGGTTTTAAAGCATAGCAACTTTGTGAAATATTTAATACAATCCTTTCACATGTATTGGCTTAAGATACTGTCATGAGATTTATAAAAACACACAATTAAGTATTTGGAATGCTAATACTTTAAAATTAAAAGTATTCATAAATAAAAGAAATAATACTATTCTGCAAATAATGCAATCAATTATACAAATGATGTACAACATAATCAAGAAGTATATGGTTTGAATAAAATATCTTGTAATTTAAGAGAGATAGCAACATTTACCGCCTTTTTTAAAAATTTTAATGATGCCATCTATAAACAATTATATAAAACAATTATCTTCTAGAAATGTCACAAAAAATTAATGAAACATCATTTACACGTTGCACGTTGCAGGTGTAACAAATACATATAATCCACACTAATAAAGCTATAGTTTATTTGCAAAAAAATAACTAAATATATTTACAATATGATTCTTTGATAATTATTAAAATGAAAATATTGAAGATAAAAAACAATTAAAATGTTGGTAATAGCATGTGGCATCACCATTTGCATGTGAGGCTAAAATTTTAATTTATTGGTGGTGTGTTGGTGAGACAGCAAGCGTTTGAGCTATAGTTTGTGAAAATCCAAATAATACTTAAAAAAAACTTAAATAAATTTACTTTTATATATATTTTATTGTAAACTTTAAATAATGTCTAAGGAGGACGAAAAACTTGACTCGATGGAAGTTACAGAAGAGAATTCGGTAAAAATTTTATATTTTTTATGTTGTAAAAGTAGACAGCGTGATGCTACAAATGCTAAAAAGCCGCAAAAAAGTAAAAATGTTTTAATGTTGCTTTTGTAAAATAATTGTAAATGTAGTCGTCGGAAAATATAAATGTAAAAAATGGAGATTGGGTCTTATACAATATTTAAATATAATGTATAATAAAATACTGCATTTGATATGTTTTCAATGTATTGCTCGAAAGGAAAAAGTGTTTTTAACAATATTCTCCATAAATTTAATTATAAATATTACTTTTTCAATGAATAGTTAAAGCCGTCAACCGGCGTCCAATTTTCTAAAAAAAAATTTTTTATACCAAAAAATTTTGTATGGCTTGTATAAAGACGTGTCTGTTAGTGGTTGTATGCACACATACATACGTATATATAGAATAGCAATGTGTTGCGACTTTAGTCGACTGTTTTGTGCAGGACGCTGGATTTTTTTATTTTCATAATTTTTCTATGTGAGTTAATAATGCTCGTAGTAATTTACGGAAGTATGAGATTAACTAAAAGTTGACTGTAATTAAAATTTCTAATTAATTAATTTCTAATTAAGTTTAGAAAGTATAGATATGCGTTTATAGATTGTACTAAATATTTATAATAGAAATAATATGATAATATATATTTATTCTAATAATTAATATTATTTGAATTTAGAATGAGTCTGTTTCTGAGGAAACTACATCTTCGGGAGAGAAGGAAGTTGAATTTAACAGTAAAATTGAAACCGATCGTGGTAAACGATTTGATTTCTTGTTGAAACAAACTGAAATCTTTACGCACTTTATGACTAATAGTACAAAAAGTCCCACTAAACCTAAAGGACGACCGAAGAAAAACAAAGATAAAGACAAGGATAAAGATAAGGATGGAAATGCAGAGTATGTACACATCAAATATATTATTAATAACATAAATTTAAAAATGCTTTTGTTTTAAAACTTAACAGTCATCGGCATCGCAAAACTGAGCAAGAAGAAGATGAAGAATTGCTTGCTGAAGACACACAATCTAAAGAAATTTTTCGGTTCGAAAGCTCTCCAAATTATATTAAAAACGGCGAATTACGAGATTATCAAGTTCGTGGTCTGAATTGGATGATTTCTTTATATGAAAATGGTATTAACGGCATACTGGCTGATGAAATGGGTTTGGGCAAGACCCTACAAACAATTTCTCTTTTGGGTTATTTGAAGCATTTCAAGTAAGTTAAATAGTAAGAATAATTTATAACAACATTAATAAATAAGTTTAAAATTAAAATAAATAATTAAATCTGAAATTTCAGAAATCAAGGCGGTCCACATATTGTGGTTGTGCCTAAATCAACGTTGCAAAATTGGGTAAATGAGTTTAAAAAATGGTGTCCATCACTACGTGCTGTTTGTCTTATTGGTGATCAGGATGCACGTAATACATTTATTCGTGATGTACTCTTGCCAGGTGATTGGGACGTATGCGTTACTTCGTATGAAATGTGTATTCGAGAAAAATCTGTTTTTAAAAAGTTTAACTGGCGATATATGGTTATTGATGAAGCTCATCGTATTAAAAATGAAAAGTCCAAATTGTCCGAAATTTTACGAGAGTTTAAAACAGCTAATCGATTACTCATCACGGGTACACCATTGCAAAATAACTTACACGAGTTATGGGCATTGCTAAACTTTCTACTACCCGATGTGTTCAATTCATCTGAAGATTTTGATGAATGGTTTAACACAAATACCTGTCTGGGTGATGATGCACTTATACAGCGTTTACATGCTGTTTTGAAACCATTTTTGTTACGACGTTTAAAGTCGGAGGTAGAAAAGCGACTGAAACCTAAAAAGGAAATTAAAATTTTTGTAGGATTATCGAAGATGCAGCGTGAGTGGTACACAAAACTTTTATTGAAAGACATTGACATTGTTAACGGCGCTGGTAAGGTTGAAAAAATGCGTTTACAAAACATTTTGATGCAGTTGCGTAAATGTACAAATCACCCATATCTGTTCGATGGTGCTGAACCGGGCCCACCATATACCACAGATACTCATTTAGTTTTTAATTCCGGTAAAATGGTTATTCTGGATAAATTATTACCAAAACTTCAAGCTCAAGGTTCCAGAGTGCTGATTTTTTCACAAATGACACGTATGCTGGACATTTTAGAAGATTATTGTTTGTGGCATAATTATCAATATTGTCGACTTGATGGTAAAACTCCACATGAAGATCGAAATAGACAAATTCAAGAATATAATATGGACAACAGTGTCAAATTCATTTTCATGTTGTCTACACGTGCTGGTGGTTTGGGTATTAATTTAGCTACTGCCGATGTTGTTATAATTTATGACTCTGATTGGAATCCTCAAATGGATTTGCAAGTAAGGAATAAATTTGTTTTACACATAAAAATACAATAACTTGGAATATATTTATTTTTGAATAGGCTATGGATCGCGCACATCGTATTGGCCAAAAGAAGCAAGTACGTGTGTTTAGGTTCATAACAGAAAACACGGTGGAAGAAAAAATTGTTGAACGTGCTGAAGTTAAATTGCGTCTAGACAAAATGGTAATACAGCAGGGTCGTTTAGTTGACAATCGCACAAATCAACTAAATAAAGATGAAATGTTAAATATTATACGTTTCGGTGCAAATCATGTCTTTGCTTCGAAAGATTCTGAATTGACAGACGAAGACATAGATACAATATTAGAGCGTGGTGAAGCTAAAACAGCAGAAGAAAAAGCAAAATTAGATCAGTTGGGAGAGAGTTCATTACGTACATTTACGGTTGATACTAATGGTGAAGGTGCTAGCACTTCAGTATACCAATTTGAAGGCGAAGATTATCGTGAAAAACAAAAACTGAATGCTTTGGGTGATTGGATTGAGCCACCAAAACGTGAACGCAAAGCCAATTATGCTGTGGATGCTTACTTCCGAGAAGCATTGCGAGTATCTGAACCAAAAGCGCCAAAAGCACCACGTCCACCGAAACAACCTATAGTGCAAGATTTTCAATTCTTCCCACCGCGCTTGTTTGAGTTACTTGATCAAGAAATTTACTATTTTCGTAAAACGGTTGGGTATAAAGTGCCAAAAAATCCCGAACTTGGCTCTGAAGCATCTAAAGTACAACGTGAAGAACAACGTAAAATTGATGAGGCCGAACCGTTGAGTGAGGAAGAAATTGTTGAAAAAGAATCCTTATTAACTCAGGGTTTTACTACATGGACAAAACGTGATTTTAATCAGTTTATTAAAGCTAATGAAAAATATGGTCGAGATGATATAGAAAATATTTCAAAAGATGTTGAAGGAAAGACGCCTGAAGAGGTTATAGAATATAATGCTGTATTTTGGGAGCGATGCCATGAGCTGCAAGATATTGAGCGTATCATGGGACAAATTGAACGCGGTGAAGCTAAAATTCAAAGACGCTTGTCTATTAAAAAGGCTTTAGATCAAAAGGTATGAGTAAAATTAATATTTGTTTTTTTTTTTTTTTAATTATGATGCAAGGAATGAATTTAAGAAATTTTTTTAATATTTTATTTACATATTTTATATATTTTTAACTCTTTCATACATTTTATATATTAAATATTTTATATATAATATTATATATAATATATGTATTATACTTCGTAAAGTACATATAATGTTTTTGTTTTATATATATTTTATATTTATTTTATATTGTGCAAATTACTACTGCATATGTTTATAGGAAATATACTAAATAAGAATATTTTCATGCAAAAAAACATTAATAGTGAGGTTTTGTACGTGTAATAGTCGCCGGTCCAAAACTTAGAATTGAGAGGTAAATGATAGGGACAATTAATTGAAGCCATCTAGGAGCTCTGATGATTGGCTATTAATCAAGTTGAGGATCTAAGAAAGAATATTAGATTTGTCAACTATTGGTAATAATTCTCATAGGGTAAATAAATTCAAATCAATTGTAAATTAGAAATCGAATATCAATTTGTTTCAATTTCATATATCTAGAGACAAAAATTTTTTTCTATTATTTTTTATTATTTTGTTTTATTAATAAATAACAAATTAAAAATTTTAACAGTAAGAGGATTTAGATTTCATATATATTTTTGAAATGATAAATATAATATATATATTACAAAAATTGTAGATGTGTCGCTATCGCGCCCCTTTCCATCAGTTACGTTTACAATATGGAAACAATAAAGGAAAAAACTATACCGAAAATGAAGACCGCTATTTGGTTTGTATGTTGCATAAATTGGGTTTTGATAAAGAAAATGTCTATGAGGAATTACGTGCTGGAATTCGGTAATATATAACACTTGTTTTATAAAATAGAATAAATTCAAACGATTTCTTTAACAGTTGCTCTGCGCAGTTTCGATTTGATTGGTTTATAAAATCACGTACAGCATTGGAGTTGCAGCGTCGCTGCAATACTCTTATCACTTTAATTGAGCGTGAAAATCTTGAACTTGAAGAAAAAGAACGTCAAGAGAAAAAGAAGAAGACTGCTAAAAATTCGGGCACACCAACGAATACTCCGCAATCTAAAACTAATCAAAAACGTAAAACTGAAATGATGCTTGTGGATAAAAATGCAAAACGAAAGAAAAAATAAATTATACACTAATTTATGGTCCACAACTAAATTATTTTTTCATATGTTTTAATATTAGTAATCTTTTACAATGTTGCATTTTTCCTAGTAATTACAGCCATTCAAATATATAAACTTAAGATAGAATTGTGCGGTATGTTAAAAAAATTACATTATAAAGTGATAATTTTATAATAACACACTGGAAACTGGAGTTTCTGATCATAATTACACAATGGAATTTTTTAACATCTTAAGTGGATACATTTTTATATTAATACTATATATATTAATATTCATCATTACTATAATTTTTAAGTTTTCCAAAATTAAGATACTATTTATTTATTAAGCAATGTATTGTTTATATGTTAACATTCATTTAGATAAGTAAATTCGCGTCTATTGTTTGTATTACTCTACCCAATGCCTACGTCTAATATTCCAAAATATATTAACCACTATTGTCATGAAAAAACAAGTAATAAATATTTAGATATTAACAATAATAATTGCTATTAAATGCACAAATTAATATGCAAAAACTTAAGGTGTATTTATTTTCATATACGAGTATATTAATAAAACAGTCTGTTATCAATAATAGTAAATTTAGGTACATATACGGAAAATTAATTAGTATTTGTTAGCATTATAAACTTATTACTAGTTATTAATGCGGCATATTGTTTTAACGTTTATAACTTAAGGCGACGTACAAAATGTTGTTTAGTGTCGGGTCTTGTAATTGATCAAGATCCTCAAGAAAAGGAGATGAGAGGCACTCTAATCGTCTTTCCCACAGTTGCGACAGGTATGATTGAAAGGTAGATTTAATCTTCTAGCATGGTTCCCTAGTTTGCAGTGTTCTGTAAGTAAACTCACCAAAAGACTGATATCTCTACGGTAGATCTCAGTGAGAATTTTGGATTTTCATTTTGTTGAAAATGGCCAGCTTGTATACAGGTGCCTGCATATCGTTGTCTTTCCATCTTTTATTAAAAATTTTAGCACAGAAAGAATTTAGTAACAATTCGCATGATGTTAACGATATTTATTAAGATTACTTGGGTGTTCCGAGTGATATTCTGAAGCACCCTTACTGGCTAGTTCGTTTGCTTTACAATTGTCGAAAATATCCCCAGATCCCAGATTAGAGATTAGTTTAGAGATGTGTAGCAGTCAAAAACCGTCCTAGATGTAATTTGGACTGAACTCAAGGACTTTAAAGCAACTTTACTGTCTGTTAGTATGTATATATTGCTGCCAAATACATCATTCACATTCAAACAAGCTACAGCTTCCCTAATGACGATAATTTCCGCCTGAAAAACACTACAATGATTCGGAAGTCTAAAGTAGGAAAATTTATTCAGTTCCTCTAAATAAACTCCACTGCCTACACCATTATTTGTTTTGAATCCGTCAATAAAAATGGTTACTCACTTACCCAATGAAGGATCACCTGACGTCCATAAATCTCTAGATGGAAATTCGACATTAAATTTTCTGTTGAAATGGAGGAGAGGAGAGATGTAGTCAATGTTTTTAGGAGTAAGATTGAAAAGATTAAGAACGGAGGCTCTCCATTGTGAGGTAGCTTTGATTCTAAGAGCAGATGAAGCTGCCATTTGTTTGTTGTTTACTAATGATATCCAGTAGCAGTAAGTGAAACATCAAATTTAGTACAATGACTGGTGTGGTGCATAACGCCCCACTAATACAGAGTTCAGGTCTTCGCTGAACCCTGTTAAGTACTGCATAGTACGAAGACTTGTCGAGAGCTGTTCAACAACCCGTGATACCATACAGCAGTAAAGGCCTAATAACAGGTATATAAAGTCATTGAGTGATCCATGGTTGTAGTTCCCACTTCTAACGAATAACTTTTTATTGAATCGAAAAGTTACCTATTACCGAATCAAGATATCATCAACATCGATAAATATTGCAGTAAAAAAAAATTGAGTTATCGTTTCAAAATTGATTATTTAATTGAAAAATTTTTCTTTAACAAAATATGAATATAAAAATATATACTAATAATTTAGAAAAATGAAGCGGGTTGTTTTATAGAATTTTAGTAGCTGTGATTATGCTTTTCAATTGCTCTGGAAATTTTCTATTTTTGCGACTCATACATTTATTTCATGTCGACATCTACATCACATGATATACAGAACAGTTTATTTTTTTATATCACTATACTATTCCTCTTCGACACAATATGCACATGGATTTGCCATTTCGTCTGCAAGTGGTTCCCCACTTTCTTTATAATCATTCATTATTGCTTGCAATTCTTCTTGCGCAGCATAAAATTCCTCTTCTTCCATTCCTTCTGAGATAAACCAATGTAAATGTGCTTTCCGCTTTAACATAATTGTACTGGTATCCATTATTCGTGCACAAAGTTTATTAATAGCTGTGGTGTTTCCAATAAATGTGGCTGACATCTTCAACCCGCGCGGCGGTATATCACAAATAGCGGTCTTTATATTATTTGGTATCCAATCTACGAAATTTCCAATATTCTTGTTTCGGACATTTGTCATTAACTGATCAACTTCACGTGGAGATAGACGTCCGCGAAATATTCCAGCTGCAGTTAAAAGTTTGCCCTCTCGCAAATCTATTTCACACATTAGATTATTAGAAGAGAATATTTGTTGTACTAATTCAGCAACTGTTCCTTGTGCAAATTTTCGTTCTTGACAGGTAGCTAACGGTGCGAAACCTGGAATTAGAAAATGTAAACGAGGAAATGGTACCATGTTAACATAGATTTTTCGTAAACCAGCATTTAGTTGTCCAGGAAAACGTAGACAAGTTGTAATACCAGACATTGTTAAGGCAACTATATGATTGATGTGCTCATATCCGGATAGTTCAATTTTAAGATTTCGTTTGCAAATATTAAATAGCGCTTCATTATCCAAGCAAAAGGTCAAATGTGAGTTATTCACTAAAGAGGGTATGCTTAGTAAGGCGTTATATGGTTCCACAACAGTTTGGGATGTATTTTTTGACGGTATTACAACGTAGTTAGATATCAAGTTATCAGTATATTCTTCCACCATTGAGTTCATTAAAAGTGAAGTGAAACCAGAACCTGTACCGCCACCAATCGAATGCAATATTTGAAAACCTTGTAGAGATTCTACAGATTCAGCTTCCCTTCTTATATTGTTAAGTGCATCGCCCAGTATAACATTGCCATCTTTGTGATAACCTCTTGCAAAATTATTACCAGTGCTTTCAGGACCAAACACAAAATTTTCTGGCCTATAAAGTGCACTCTTCGATTTTAATGTAAGGATAGAGTTAGGATCGCTGTCGACGGCTATAGTGCGGGCATAAAAACGTTTTGTGGCGGTTGCGTTGAAGAACACATTTATCCGTTCTAATTGTAATGGATTGGTGCCCTTGAAGCTTCCATTGGAATAGTCAACTCCGTGCTCATGTGAAATAACATGCCAAAACTATGAATAAAACAAACAAACATATATTTAGTTGTTTGAATATTTATAAACTTAGGGAAAGAAATTTAGATTTGTTTTTTTTTTTTTTTGATAAATAATAATTATTTTTATCAAGATGTTTTATATTATGGGGGATCTTATATTTCTTATTTATGAGATTTCCAGAGAAATAACTGATTGGGTTCTGCGGTGAAAACTTTATAAATTTTATAACAATTTTATAATATAATATAGATAATAACGAAGATAATATGGAATTCAAATATTTACGATAATAAATACTTGCTATCTTTTCTAAAACATGTAGCAAACAGTCTTTGTTTTACAGGAGCTTTAAAAATACTCTACTATAATGGAGATAATTAGAAACAAGAGTTAGATCGAATGAAAAATTGGGTAGGGGTGGAGGTGGGAAGGGGAATATTTAGAGAGAAATAGAAAGCCAAATTGGGGAACAGTGATATTCAAATACTCAATTATAATCTATAAATCTAAGTCGTACAATTCAATTTTCATATTTCACATATTATCAAATATTCATAGAAATTTTAATTACTTTCAAATTTTAAATAATGTTGAAAAATTTTAATATAATGAAGATATTTATAAGTATGTGATTTTAGTTGATATCCATATTAAACTTACGGCGTCGCCAATAGCACTTCCGCAAGCGCCAACCTGTATTGTGATGATCTCCCGCATTAGTAAATTTAAAATTTTGTTTACAAATAATTTTGAAGGTACCCAAAATTGTATTTATTTTTGATCAAAATTACACATTTTTAAATAAAATAATTATATATTATTTTTCTGACAAACATATCTAAGAAGTAATGACAATCAACTCATTTTTTTAAAAACATCTCAGATTTTTCTTGAATATGCATAATACAGACTTTAAGAAGTAAGAAAATTATTAATATTAATAATTAATAATAGACAATATTATTGTTATTATCATTAGAAACTGATATTCACTACAACCAGAATAGACCTTTTGTGTATAACCTTGGCTTTTAAACTGTGTATGTTTATAATTTCCCACCCGATATCTTACATACCCAAGAACTTCATACTGAGGTTCCGCAAGCTATATTACACAGATCTCTCCGCTCTCTTGCAGTCTATTTCAACGAGATGGACCGCATCCATTACTAAGTTCTGCCATATAATCGCGGATATCGTAATCCACTCCACAGAGTATTCTCCTATGTAGTCCCAGTTTCAGTTCCCTACATACTGACCCCTAGCCTACATAGCTTATTTTATCTTTTCCCTCTAATTACTGAAATGAGATCTCAGCCAGATGACTTCCAAGTTTGACGGATGAGGTCTTCTGAACTTATTTCTAAGAGGTAAGAAAAAGTTTTCGATAAATTTTAGTTAGTAGATTGTTGTTCCAGCATTTATATGGAGGTCTCTGACCTTTTAATATCCATTTCGATAGACATCAGAGGTGGGAAGATGCAACTTATTAAGTAATATATGTAGTTGCAATGACTTGTAAAGAAATGAGATAAATTCCTGAAATCTACTTTACTTAGCAAAAGCACATTTTTTGATCATTTTTTTTACTGAGATAAAGAATAAACACACCAGCCACATACGTATGTCTAAGCAGAAACTCCTAAGTTTACAAGAAGTTATAAAGTCTTCTGTTTTTGATCGATGCTTGATAGGTTCGAATACGAACATTTTAATCAATAGATGTTTTAAAAGATTACTGATAATGGATACTTGGTGGTATTCGATATTCGAAACAGCAGTACTGTCAACACAAAAAAAAAAATCATTTGATTAAGAATTAAATTTTTTAAATTTAAATTTTAATTTACTGACTTTTACAGTCGTAGTAGTGTTTGTTGTTGTTGTTGTGATTTGAGTTAGTGCTATTGCGCACTTTTACTCTATTGTGGCTGGGGGGGTTAACCCTGCCCCACACTAAACTTTGACTATACTAGAATCATTATCATTTATTTATTTTCTAACTGATGACGGACCGTAGATCAGCATACCTTCCTGTGCGTCCTGAGGTGGACTTAAGGTTTGATATTATTTAATACAAAAAATGACTATTATACCAATTCTTAGAAGTCAAGAAATTTCCACTTACCAACACAGTGAGTTTAAACACTATTTATCTTAAAGATACTATTCGACACCCACTTTCTTACTGCAAAATAATTCAATCGAATATTATATTGACTTTTAAAAGTTATAAATTTCAATATTAATTGAACTATAAAACATTCAAAACACAATATGATAAAAATATGATTAAATATTTATTTTATTAAAAAAAATCAACAAACTTATGCTATATATGTATTATTAACAATACACTTTAAATTCTTTCATGCAATATGATTATTTCCTATTATTCTAGAACTATACCTTAAAGTAAATGGAAATATTTGAAAGTTAAACTTACAAATAATATCATTACAATGCAGTCGAAATTTTTTTACACTCGTATCTTATTTGAATTTAGTAATTCTGTTTCACATATATATTATTATGTTATCTATAAGATACCTAATATTTTTGACAATTACTTAATTTCTAATAAGTGTTTTTGTGTTTTAAACTCCTAACAGTGCTAAAGATACATATTATATATTAAAACAGTAAGCACCAGGCCTCTTTCACGTTAGTTGCTAAAAGGATATAAATATTTTGGCAGATGACATTTACACACATATGAGGTTTATTTACATATAAATGGCTATCATTAAAAATAAATACGTGTTTTATGTTTCAAGCTTTCTGATTTAATCTTCGTTAGTCTCATCCTGTATTATTTCCTGTATACTTGCAGCCGATCCAGCAATCAATGCCAATATGGCTAATATGCTCAGTATTATATTTTTAACCAATTTCCAATTGAAACGACCCATATTTGGCCATAAGTAAACTGTTTCCACAACACTGGGTACAAAAATACCTAAAAACGTTAAGAAATTTATAAATAAAAAAACAATTGTATTTCTCTCATTTGTGTAAATACCCAATAATGAAAAGAATATAGCACCCACTAAACTAATGAATGGTTCCAAGTTGGGTATAGCAGCTGCAATGCCACCACTAATCAGCACAATACCACTACGTAATAAAATCTGTGTAATGTTATGATTTTTCTCATTGAATTTGTGATTTATTTTTCTCCATAAAATTTCATTTGGTATGTAAAATTGTAGACCATATGTAAAAAGTATAGCTATAGCCATAAGTAATTTAGCAGCATCAGCGAGGCTAATAATTTAAATTAAATTTAATTAAAAATAAAAAAAATTTAGTTTTCATATTTAAACTTACGCCTCTCCCTTTTCCAAATTCAAAGTAATACTTCCACGGACACCCGGACCATAACGAACATAACCGAAGAAACCGATTATAGCATATAAACCCACAACTGTTATCATAGCTATATTTAGTACACCAGGGCAACCAAGAAATTGTTGTGGTTTCTTCATTGAATTTTCTACTGGCATCACTGCACCAATACCTTCCATTGCAAAAATGACGGTAGCAAAGAATAACGGTATTTGCGTTACCTTAGCTACTAGTGGTCGATCGAAGTCCAGTGTATCGTTGAACATATAATAGAGAGTAATACCAAATACAACAACAATACAAATGTTGGCCAACGTTGAAAATGGCACTAAGAGTTTTAGAGATCTTATTTGACCAATGAATAGGCAAGGGATAACTGTGAACGCAATATAGATGCGTATATCCCAATCTAATTTTAGATCAAAGTTTATAACATCATGGAATGAAGTTGCTATAAATACCATGTATACACAAGCTGCTGCATAATAAGTCGCCATAAGTGCACAATCAACGAATTGTCTGCGGAATAAAAAAAAATAATAAAATAAATTTAAGCTCAGATATATGTATCTATTGGTTATATGCATTTGTTAAAAGGACTAATCACTTTAATATGTTTTTAATAAATTAGTGGGAATGGTTTCAAACAATTAGATATTGTACACAACACTGTTTTATTTAAATATTAATAAAAATGATTAATGATCAGTTTATTCCTTTCATAATTTAACCGTAAGAGGTCCGACTTTGAAAACTAAATCCGAATAATTATGCTAGTATATGGTTACTAATTTTATCAGTTATTGTAATTTTCTTTACTGTTATATAGCTTAAACTCACTTAGCAAAATTTGACCATGGTCTGAACGGTTTGGGACCAAGTTCAAAAACCTTTTCCGCTGTTTCAGCAAATCCAAGCGACGTCACTCTGGTATCTTTACATACTTGTTGTGAAGTCCGCACCTAAAAAGCATTAATTGATTATTTATTGTAGTTTACAAATTATGAAAATATATTATCTACATAGTAACATTAATAATTATTACCAAATAATAAAATATCAATAGACAAAAATCAAAAAGTATATGTACTTTTAAGAATATTGTGTGGTTCCATGATATAATTCTTGCAAAATCAAAATATTAGACTATAAGTTCTATTATCTATTTTATAATAGATTTTATCTATTTTTATATGTATATTGCCACTTTACAGGCTATAGAATGAATCAATACTAACAGATTATCTGAAACGTCACACCATTGCTTTAATTGCACTAAGAAAGTTACTGCGGCCGAGCTTATTCTATTATAAGGCTTAGGTCCGAAGGACTACATGACTGAACTAATTCTTGTGAGAACTAAAATGATAGTGGTGAGTAAATATAATTCATTTTCTAAAATTGAATATGTGAATAATCATTTCGTCTTAATGATCGAGTCACATTGTTCTTTGAAGAAAGCTAGTTCTGGGCTTTTTAAACATTTCATATGAGAATTTCAAATAATAAACTCATTTCCAGCACACAGTGATATACGAAAATATTTAAATTATATTGTTTATTATTGTATTTTACTTCTAACTTTGGAAACAGAAAAAAAAAATGTTTCGAATTAATAAATTCTATGAAATATCATTCATATTTTAAAGGATTTCTTGTAGATTATTACGAAAAATTATTTAAATGCTAAAAAGTTTTAAGAAGAGAAGATAACTGATATTCCACTAAAAAGGATATTTTTCTGAAAAATACTTTTTTATTATTTTAATTAATTGAATTTTTGGCTGACCATAACCTGTTTTGAGTATTGCCAAATACCCATCATCGGTGGTCAGTGGTCGAAGTCGTGTCCTGCCAAATTTGAAGCTCAGAGTCAGCGCTCCTTAACCAATTAACCCAAAGCCGTTATTGGCTTTTATGTTCGCCCATTTTTCTGGAGTTTTGTAATTTTGCTGTGAAAGTTTTATTAACAAATTCACTTGCTGTGTTTTTATTAGAACGAAATCATAAACTAGTTGTAGAATAATTGAATTAATTAATTATATTTTTATTTTTAATTATTAAATTTCATACTATTTTGTTTTTAGAGGCATCATTTGTTGCATGATTTATACATTCTTTTTTATGTAAAGGACGTAATCTAGGAACGTGATCTGAGAAAGTCATGCTAATATTACTCCACGATTCTTTTTTTCTTCAAGAGTGCTTATATTTTGAAATAAAAAAGACAGATTACTGTTTTGTAAGGGAAAATCAGGCAACCAATAGATAATTATTGTGATAAGTGTTTAGTGTACTTAAAAAAAATCAGATAAATAACAGAAATTAAATGTTTAAATTATTTACACATTACAGACAAGTGTGACATATTTCAAAAATGTACCTTGAACTAAAAAATAAGTGTAGGCATATCTATCTTTCAATATCTCTAAATATTTCGAAATATTGATTATATAAGACAGAAAACTTTAAAGCATTGTTATACGGTTTGTGTAATAAACAAGATATTACGATTAGACATCTCGTTAGGGATTTAGTGGAATGTAAACATATCTATAAGTTTAAAAATTTTGCTAGAAAATCGATCAAAGGGTTTCTGCAGTGTAATGCCAAATCACTTTTCGATAAATAATATCCAAGGAATATTAACTGTTAAATTTTAAGTGAAATTCGTCGTCTGTTCATATCAATCTATAATTGCAGACTAGAGATAAAGAAACATCTGTAAAGATGGTTGCGTTCATGTGATTTGTTACGGTTGCCTTTTTTTTATTTAGAAGTGTATTTCTATTAAAGTCGCGATGGAGATCAGTGTTCCTGATATACCAAAGACTATTTAAAAATCCTCTTAGTACTTTCTTTTAAAAGCATTGATTAACTTTAATGTGTTCTTCGCAGGTGAAAATCAATTTCATACATTAAGACCATGTCGGCTATAGTATTCATGCTTTATAATTTAAAGTCTAATACCATTATAGGTTTATAATAAATTTTTTTGTCGTCCTTTTAGCTGTAAAATTGATTGCTGAAGATTTGTTACAGCTTTTTTTTACCTCTTTTCCTGCGAAGGTGGCAATCATGTTATTTGGTGACAAATTTAGATTCTGAGTATATAGCAAGTATTATATTAGTTCTCTCTAAAATATATCCTTGTGACATAACTGACGATTCTATATTAATCTGGCGTAGTCGTTTTATTAGATCTCAATGTTAGAAATTGAGACTGATCGGTTTAGAATATTTTATTTTAGAACAAAAATATATATTTAGTAATATCGCGTAAAATCATATACTATATCAGTGACTATATAATACGTTACTATAATTTAAAAACCGTGTATTGTGTTTGTAAGTTATTTAAAGTTATTTAGAAATTCTAACCGTGAAGGCTTAAATTAATTCATTGAAAGTCATGTGCGTTAATTTGTGAGTATCCGAAAGCGATCTTAAACATCGACAAGGTTTTGATTTTTGCCAATTTATGACTTTTTAACATTAAGTGGTTGTTGCGGTTTCTTACTTATTTAAAAACCTGACGCAGTTTACATGCGAATGCTAATTACTGAACAAATAAAAATTCAGTTATAAAAACGATTTCAAAACACTTTAAAGTGAGTTGTCGAGCACAAATCTACTAATTAAATTAATTGATTTAGTCATTGCTTTTATTTAAAATGTTTCACTGAAACTCACCAGAATGTGAACACAATGTGTACATAAGATGCCAACAATTAATGTGAAAACCATGCCAAAAACGAGACCAGCATTGTAGAAAGCCATTGGCATAGCCAAAATGCCGGTACCTAGAGAACCTTTAAGCAAATGTGCTAAAGCACCACCTGTCGAACTGCCCTTGACTTGATCGCGGTGCTCGAATGGATTATAGTCATCGTGGAGTTGGCCCTTCTCGGTTAAATTTGTTCTAAAATGAAAAATGAGAAACTTTTTAAAATCAATAGATCTATTTTGAAATAAAATGTGTACTCGTACTTTGAGTTGAAGTCATTTAACGTAAAAACCGAACTCGATTTCTCCTTTGAGGATGTATTGTCTGTCATCTGTAAAGAGAATTATTTTCTTGTTTTAATTTGAGTTATTTATTTAAATCTTATGATGTATATTTAAACTAAGAAGATTTTAAATGATAAGCGCCATTTCTACATATAAGATATCTTCAGACATTACCGAAACCTACTGAACTAAAAACATTTTGTAATTGAGTCATTTCGAAATAACATATAAAGGATTATTTATAAGTTCTCATGCGCCACTTATCAGTTTTACGTTTATCTGGTAATATTTTAATGCTACTAGAACAGTATGTGGGAAGTCTATCAATCAAAGGATCATTTGTTATGGTTATGGTTTCAAGAGTGATGGCACTAATAACAAATTTTATATAAATTATTTATAATAAATCAAAACTGCTTACTACGAAATTAGTTCGATAAGAACATAATCAAGTATTTGTCGAAATAAGTTTTAACTAATTGTGTCGTTAATTACTAGAAAACATTTTAACAAAAATAAGTTTAAACAATTAACGATATGGGTACTTTGGAATGTCATCGCTTAGAAAGAAAAGTTAATGGAAAATTTTTAGAATACTTAATATGAATTTCAATTTTACAAAGCTTTTAATAATATGAGTAAACGTAAAAATTTAAGTTGTGTCTGAAACTATATAAGAATAGGTAGTTAGGTAAGAAATTGCATTTTTGGACTAAATTGACCTGGATCTACGTAATACCACATGATGACAAAAGGACCCCTAATATAAAACTTCACCCCTTTGCTGAATTATTTTATTTATTAGAACCACATTGAAAAGATAAAGAATATATTCTAACTTGGAGTATTATATTACGAGTATATTCTTCTTTTTTGCAAGGTATAAGATATATTCTGGCTAGAAGTAACATAAAGTAATTATGTTATAGTTTTTGCAGTTGGCATTGGATGATACATCTCTTTTTCAGGAGTGATGATCTCTTAGATAGTGCCTGGACAGTGTGATGACATCTGTGTATAAGTACATATCGTACAATCAAAAAATATATGTTAGTCACATATTAAAAATATTATTTTACGGTTAAGACGATTTGGCATGACAATTTCGATGTTATCAGAATAGACTTGACGTTTAAAAACGTATCACCAATGTTTTGTCACGAAAATGTCTGAAAATATATTATTTATTTAAATGAATTGAAATGTGAACGTAATAAATCTTATCGGTTGTAAAATACGTAATACCTGTCTGTATAATTTGAAGTGCCCATGCTAGATTATTTTTAAGATTTAATAGTTTATTAAAACTGATTTTGACTCTGATAAAAGTGCAAGACAGGTTATGCGGAAATAAAGCTCGCCAACTAATACAAAATTTCTTAGAAAACTTTGAATTAATTTAAAGCAGAAACAAAGATTTTGCTGATAGTAGGTAAGAGATCATAAATTTTTATGTATTCAACTCAAAGTGGATTTCTAAGATAATGTCATTGCTGTTAACTGATTTTCTATCTTATCGTTAATATTTGAAAACAGTCAAGAGTGAACGCGCACACTTTTTCGATAGCACTTATGGACAATGATTTCTTTGCACTTTGCTGTGTATTTAAAAATACGGTTTCATATTAGTAGAACTAACCAACTAACTAAATCATTATCGCTTGTAAATACCTCGCAACAACAATATTTCATAAATCTTATATCAAATATGAATTGCATTCAATAAACTTCATGGCTATCGCACGATAATTTGTCGTAAAATGTCAACATGTGACTTAATGATTGGGCTAGTTTTGCTTTCGTAGGACCTTAAAAACATGCATACGAGTATAGGTATGTATGTAATTACCGGATTGATATAATTTGCAAAAGGTAAAATTTATAGATGTTATTGGTATGGAGTACACGTTTTAACAACTCATTAGCCGGTTTAAAGCTGTAATGCTTATCTTGGCTATGCGTCATTTTTAATGGATTTATTAAAATTTATGACAGATTTGTACTGTTCTTGGAACAGCTCTTCAATATGTCTGGTCGTATGGTAAAAACAATTTACTATTTCAGTTTCATATTCTAATTTTTGTTTAATAATTTATGATATTAGATATTGGAAGATATAAACAAAATGATACGACAAATGTACATATTTATGGCCGACTAGAATATGCGGGAGAAAAAAAAAAAGTTCTAGTACTTTTCAATTTTTTATTTTTTTTAAAATTTTTTAATACTGTTAGCTGATACTTTGATCTTATATATAATATATGTAAAAAGAAGAAAGATCTGGACGCAATCTAATCTAAAACGAAGAGCAATCTGACGACATTCCAATTCGGATCAAGAGTGAGAGCCGAATCACATATTCTGAGATTGATAAAAGTAGACTGTAGTGCAAGATTAATTATCTGCAACAGTAGCGGGGCCTGTACGCAAGTCACATCGATGGAAGTCTTAAATGACTAATAGGGACCCTACCTCGAAGTAATACTAACGTAGTTCCGGGGTAAAACAAGGTGTCTAGTAATAAGGGGGAGTGGTTTAGCCCATGCGAGTCGGGCACTCACCTTCCGGGGCGTCGGATTGTGGTCATTGCGTAGGTTTTCCACTCCTCCTTGCCACAAAAACAAAAACAAAAACAAAAAAAAAAAATATATATATATATACAGGATGCATGAATACTGTGTAGATATTTATTTCTATCAAATTTAGAAGGGCAATTCGAATAAAGTGTAACGATTTAAATGTATGATTTATGTGTGATTCAGTCTTAAGGAATTTGGAGTGGATATGAATACGTGTATTTTTATACTATCAGGGATCATACAAGTTATGACTTGGAATATTAATTTGTCAAAATAAAAAGATCTCTTTATTTATGTTAAAGGCTTGTTTGAAACAAATTAAAAAACTGTTGTTTAATTTTTTTACTTTTATAGTTATATCGTAAATAAATGTCGCCGACGTTTCGAAGTTTATTTCACTTCTTTCTTAAGCAGGGTATTATTATAACTGATCATAAATAGTTATATGGGGCTATTTAAACAGTAATTTGTTTAAAATTTTATGTCTAAATAATAAACAAAAAGCGACAATAAAACTAATAATAAAATCATATAATCTATTCTAATAATGAAATAAAAAAGAAGCACTAAAAGTTTTTTTATTTTGTTTCACAGAAATCTTTAACAATTTAAATAATATTGTAAAAAAATGAGCTACTATTCTAATAAAAAGGTTTTAATTATTTATTATTAAATAAGTTAATAAATTATTTATTAATTAATCACGATACATCCTGTTTTCACCTATCTTAGCGGTGAAATATATATATGAAATATAGCTATAGCTATATAGCTATACTGCTATATGAAATTGTATATACAAATGGATTCTGACATAGATTAAATTATACGTAGTATTAAGTATGAATGAATGTGTGTATTTGCCAATAAAAAATTACTAATTTAATTATAAGACTTTGTTACTAATAGATGTGCGAATCACATCAGATGAATGATGTTACACGTTGTCGTGTGATAATTAGATTTGATGTCAATTTTGGTTGAGTTTGCGGAATATCAAATGATAAACTAAAGTAACTTTGTAAATGTCGCAATCTGATGGAGTTGAGATCTTCTTAGACAAAATGACCTAATGTGATATTACTTCATATTAACGATATCGATAACTAGGCCATGTTATACAAATGTTTGCAAATATATATAAATAATTTCTTCATTCAACTGTGTTTAATAATTCAGAATACATCAAAAAGGATAAAAATATAATTTTTTTATAACAAAATAAATGAGTAAAAATAAGTTATTAATTAATGTAAAAATTTAGTCAAGAAATTAATTTTACAACCGTGCTCTTAGGTTCTTCAAAAGATTTAATTTATCGTATTTATTACCAAAGGTTCCTTATAAATAATACGTTTTGTTATAAATTATTGAAGATTTTCCCATTGAAGAGGGCCGTTTAATACAAACATATTTTATTAGCTACATTAAATATTTCAGCTTATAGCTGTTTAAACTTTACGACAGTTCTGATAACAATTACAGCAATGAAATAAAAAATAATAAAAAATCTCTTAAATGATTTACAGAACTAAGGACATTGTATGGAATACTTCTGATTGAGTATGTGAATTTCTTGAATAATTTTTAATTAAAAATTTTATTTCACATCAAAATTGTGTTAGATTTTAAAAGTCTGTTTGTGTGTCTTTTTTTCACATAAAGTTATTTAGTTTGTGTATTTGGGATAATTTATATATTATTTTTAAGCGCACTAAAAAAGTATTTTATTTGATAAAGAAAAGTCCTTTTTAGTTGATCTGTTTTTCATTATTTTTTTTAATAATAACTATTCAATAAAATTTATATTTTTGTATTTTATATATTATATTGTAAATGTATAATTTATATTTGTATATTATTTAATAAAATATTTTACGATATGGAATATTATATGTAAATATTTTATTTTATTTAGATAGTGTTTTATTATTTATTATTTTCAATAAGATTTGTATAATAAACTTTGAAATTTTCTATAAAAATACATATATAATATAATGTATACAATGTGTATTAGTGTTTATTCAACAAGGATTGCATTAATTTTTTATTTTAAGTAATTGTTGTTTTTTAATGAACTTGGGACACATTTTACCTTTTTACAAGTTTTTTTTTTTTAAAAATATTTATATTTAAATTTGTTTGCTTTAAATTATTTTTTAAGAACAACACTAAACCGCACTCATTGATTGACCAAATCCAACTGAAGCACCTGAATAATAAATTCCATTGCAAAGCGCGCGTCCCTATTAACAATGTTAATAACAAATACAAATGCAAAACAAATTCCAATAACAATAACATTTACAACAACACGAGAGTAAAAAAAAAAAGAAAACACACAAATAACAATATTACTAACAAATCATTTGAGCCCCTTTAAAATCAATTAATAACATTAATTTAATCGTCATTATCTTTAAATGATAAGTAACGTGCGAAATATACAAACTTTAAATGTAATTTTAACGCTGTTTGTGTGTGTGTTTATATATAAGTAGCCCTGTAATAATTATACCACAAAATTATTTTATTAAAAGTGTTAACATGAAAGATTGATTCAATAAACTTAACATACACATATGTACACTCTTAATGACTGATAAGGATGTGTATAGGTATAAGTGTGTGCGTATTCAGTGTCATATAAGAACTGTGTACCAGGAACAACAACAATTTGTCTTAATTTAATAAAATAATCTCAATTAAAACAACGCGACATAATTGTTAACAATGTTAGTAATTAATATTTACAATCAATGAGCAAATCATAGTGAAAACAATTGACAGTTTATACGCAGGCGGGCCTTATCTATGCTCCAAATACTCCAAGTATATAAATAATGTATTCACCTACTTGTACTTATGAGTAGAATTAAGGTGAGCGGTAGATATTAGGAACTACAATTCATAATGCCATATTATAGTGTAAGTATCTGAACGTTAGATTATACATATATATGGAAAATGTCTTTCATATCTTTCATACATACAGGTGCCTGAACCTAAAAAATGTTGGAGATAAGCTTTTCAAGGTTAGTATTGTCCAAAAAATTTTTATTAAACATAATAGCTAATCTCAATAATGATACGGTGGTCAAAATATTGTAGTTTAAAAAGTTTAAATTGAATATAAATACTAATTTAAAAACTATATTATATATATGAAACAGGCTAATCGATTAGAAGTAAAGAATAGATATGGAAACGGGTTTTAAAATTATATGATTATAAATTTACAGCAAAATTTCAATTAGTCACAAGGTATGATAAACATTTTCAGTGCAAAGTACTGATTTCCGAATATAGACACCATTTCAATCGGATAATGATACTTAAAAGGAGCTGATTATTTTATTACATTAAATTTGTGATTACTTAAAAAAAGTACGTTTAACAATGTGTTTTCATATTCGGAATAGTATATGAAAACTTTCTACTTATTACATTTGAAGTGTGCTAAAAAATCATGTCTTCTAGCACTGCATCTGCACGGGCTAGATTTTGGCAAGATTTTGGCAAGATTGTGAGCAACTCTTTTATTTTCGCTAATACACAAATTTTTGTTCACTGACAAAATTCGAATATTAACGTATTTGCATTCGAACATAAAAACTTGACATAGTCAAGTAAGTGTAGATCCAAGTAATATATGTGTGGGCAGTAATTCTGTTAAGACTGTTGTCCACAGTCTTTGAAAAATACAGTATTTTTTTAAAAAAAACTTGGTATGCATATGTACATTATATGCAACATTCGTTATATAAAAAAACCATTTTTATTATTGTTATTTAGATATTTCGTTATATCGAGTATTTGTAAAATCGAGATCCTGCTGTTCAATATAGACAGTATTTATATTAAATGAAATTTTTTTCAAAATTTATACAAAATTATCAATCTTATTAAAGAATACATAATAACAATTTCTTAAGATGCAATTTATGCGAACTTATAACATTTAAGTTATGCAGCACATAGTTCTTCCATATGGCATACAGTAAAGAGTATATCAAACTTTGAACTTCACTCTTTCTCTAGTCATATTTTTTTAAAAAATATTATAAATCAACGAGATACAGTTTGTTCGACAATAAAACGAAAAATTAAATATGTGGATAATGATCGAAATCTTGTTGCTGGCACGTTCCAAAATACGTATGTCTAAAGTGCTTAGCAATCCTAATACCCACCCATTTAACTATTTTGCATTACTGATTGGTGTAACGCTTAAATAAATTATTTCTTGTTAGGGTTTTAACAAATATTATAGATAAGATATTGAATAACACTTTAATGCAGCGTATTAAATGCAGAAAAGTGTATTAGTTTCACTTTCGTATCATTTGGGGACTTTAATTATATTTGTACAGTGCATGGACTGGATTCACAAATATGTTAAGTTAGTATTCCTTTATTGAGATAATTATAATTGTTCAGTATATGGTAAGTATTCGAACTATTGCAGCCATTCCAGTAAAAGGTATGAGTTCACTGTAACTCCTTCCTTACAGAAAAACTATGAGATTAAATCAGTTATTTAAAATCAATTTTTATACCATTAATACTATTATAAGTAAACATATTAAGTATATAAAATTATTTGTAAAACTCTGGAGACCTTACATAGCAGATATGATGTAGTTTGTCGTCTGTTTAAATTTATTTTTGTTTGTATTATATTCCTATCAGCTTCCAGATCCGAATAATGAAACGCATTTATTTAAAAATGTTGGCAAATATTTCGTTCTTTATTTAAGAACTCCATCAGTGCTTATTTTTCGTTCTTTATTTAAGAACTTCATCTCCTTACTACTGCATTTTATAAAAAATAAGCACTGATGAAGTTCTTTAATAAAGAACGAAATATTTGCCAACATTTTTAAATAAATGCGTTTTATTGTTCGGGTCTGGAAGCTGACAGGAATCTAAATACAAACAAAAACATACAAAGCAGAACAAAAATTGTTCTAGAAGTCAATTTTTGGCGTACAACATAACTAGTCGCTTTTAACCACACACTGCTCTTGTACAAACAAAAACGGACTGACGACGACATTCCGACATTTCCGACAAAGATCATTTTAAACAAACAATTTATATTTCGTATCTTTATGTTAAATCAATCTACCATTGATTCCTTGTGTTTTTATATGTCGGTGAAAACCTTGCAGAAACTTATTATGATTTCAGACAGATCGACAAATGAAGACTACATAATGAAACCCCACAGATATTAGCCTCATGTAATTGAAGGTATATTATCATTTTATAGTATATAAAAAAGTTTACACAATATTCTTTAATAAATTTTATTAAGCAAATAGTAATTAATTGATCTGCGGCCAAAGAGTTAATGTGTGGTGAGATTTGAAATTTCTGGAAAATCAAAGACAACTTTTCAATATTTATATACTTTTGTGTTTTATGGTTTTGATTTTTTTTTATTGTTACATCTTTTAGTTAAACCAAATTGGGAATTATATAAATATTTCTTTTATATAAGAAATATGAGAGAGACTTATATTCTCATTGGCATGATTAACATCATCACTTTTATTTCATGTCGTTTATTAATGCCTGTAGCATAAATGTTGTACATTTTTATTTAAAATGACAATACTGTTTAAAATGAAATTTAATCTATATAAGGGCATCATATTTTGGCAAAAATATTTTCGGCATCCGCATCCCGCCTACTTCAATTTGTAGCAACCAAAATTTTAACGGGTCCAACCCAATTGATTATATAAAATTGGGTTAAGTAACTGTAGTTCAATGCATTTCATTTAGGTTTTTTATATTTTTTAAAAAAACTTATTTTTATTTTAAACCTTAAATTGGCAAAAAAACCAGAACTATAACCTGTAAAACCTACTTTTGCTGACAGTGACTTTTATGAAACGCCAAACGCATGAAGATGGGCAATGAAGAAGTTCATCATCAAGTGCGTTTCGATTTATGATGAAGAAACAAGTTTTCGAAAACAGTTTCACTGCTCAATCAGTCAATTCCACCACAATCATGAATCAATCAAACTAAAAATCAATTATAATTTTACTGGAGTTTATCTGAAGTCTTTCTTCTCTTTTTTTAAACGAACTGAAATGTGCGAAAAAGACCTCGCTGAATTCAATGAACTGCAGTCAAGCGTAGTTAAAGGCTTTTGCGACACCAAAATTCCCCCCAACATCATTTTTCAAGATACCATTTCAAAGTACATATAAAGTATATATCAAAGTTGGAAAAGACCATTTTATTTTATTTTGAAAAACCTATATTTTTAATGTTAAACTAAATTATGTGATAATTTATCACGTTTTTAGGTAATGCAATTGACTGATACGTTTTATTCCGATAAATAGTAGTAAAGTACAATACTATAAAACAGTTTGCTATAAAAGTCAATCAATTTTGAAGTCGTACAAGCTTTGACTTTATCAAAGCTATAGTATACCCTACATAGATTATTATATTACAAACCAATTGTTTACTATCTTTTATTTCTAAATCTTTACTATTAAACAGTATATATTATATACATAAATAACTGTTTTCAACAGTTCTTTTGGAAGCATACTGTATGACGTAGTCAAGCCATACTATTGATATGTTGTCCCTATCCACCTAGATTCCCAATAACTTACAATCCAAGACTTACTATATCCCGTTAGTTCTAAAACAGATATTAGTTTGTATTGTTAACTACACACAGATCAGCACCTCTAAATCAAAAAAGAGTTTCTTGTTGATAAACAAGATATAGGTATATATAAATGGATGAAGTAGTTTTGGAAATCTTCAATATTGTGTGTGACATTTTTGACAATCATAAAAAAAATAAGTATAAAGATAGTTGAAAAATGTTGAAATTTTAAAAAGTGTATCTATATAACTATATAATAACATATATTTGTTTTATTAGAATTCCATTACTACTAACACGAATAAGATTTATTAACAAGCGGAAGATTATTTGTAAAAATTGCATGTAATTGAATTTTCTTTACAATGGAATAAAATATTTCTCAAACTACTTCAAACCACTTCGAACTACAAAGCATTAATTAAACTTTGTGAAAACAAAGTTAATTATATATTACATAATTATAATATATATTAAATTAAAATTTTTAAT